TTCGAGATCTCGGACCTTATCCCAATCTACAGGGACCACATGTTTGACCTGGTCAATCTCCGACTGGAGAGTTTTAATGTTCCGAAGGGAATTAGTCATGCCAGCCCTACTCCAGTCATACAGCAGGTGACAGAGACGTTTTAATCTCGCCCATAGCCGGTACAAGGGGGAACCATGAACCGTTTCCTTCCACACATACTCCACCATAGCTCGTACTTCAGGATTCGACGCCCATCGAGCATCGAACCGAAATAACGGCCGACTTTATCTTGTAAAGGGCTTATCTGAGAGAAGTAGAGTTCTGTGGTCAGACCCTTGATCTGTATGATGCTTCACGAGGGTCTCCGGAAACTGATCTATCCAGGATTGAGAACATAAAGCCCTGTCAAGGCTTTCCCTAACATAGGCCTGTCCCATCCGCTTGTTTGTCCACGTGAATTGATCCCCTTGGTATCCCACATCATGGAGACCCAGGTCATTCACAAAGTCCTGGAGCGTCGCGGATCGAGCCGGATTCCAAGGGTTCCCACCATCTTTCTCGTTACCAGAGAGGATTGCATTGAAATCACCTATCACCACATAGGGTAATTGGATTTCTTCGCACTGAGTTTGTAAGGCAAGCAATTGGGCTGCCCTGATCGAGTCAATACAACTAATATAAACAAACACAACCACATACGAAATATCATTCTCATTAATCCGAACAGAATATGACAAGTGGAATGACTCAACACCAGAGCATCAACTCTGGGGGGACCAACCTACGACAAGGCCACCAGACGCATCAACCGCGTCAACCAAAAACAACTGGAAACATCAAAACCCAAACCACGCATTCTACGCGACACAACTTCAGGTCTGATTTTTATAGTCTTTATCATTGAGCATTTTTTTGTGGTGATCAATAAAAATATAAGTCCTTCATTTTAAATATGTGTGACAACTTGAATTTAATCCACCAATCCATTCATAAAAAAATCAACTATTACAATTTATTTAAATTCATATTCAACCAATCAAATTCAGTGTATTGGTAGATTTATGGATTGTTAAAAAATTGCAATTTAGTAATATATATATATATATATATATATATATTATTTTATAATTTGATGGTTAAACTCATATTTTCAAATGAAAAATGTGATAACAAAATTACATTTTGGTACCTACATTTTTTATAATGACATTAGTATCTGAACTTTTTTTAATTTTCCAAAACTTAAAAGCCACTTAAATTCACAAATTCATTTATTATAATTCCTAAATCAAATTCATTTATCGCCTTTAAGTACTCTAAATCATAAGAATAAATTTAAGAGGAAGAGAATTGGATAAGTTTTATGCCACATTCGCTCTTCCTCTTTCCCTTAACTAAAGGCTTTTTATTTTTTATACGGTCTGTATGCTCTTAAGTTTAGGTTCTATTTTTCTAGCAAAAGAATATAATGGGATTTGGTTCATGCCAAGGCGAAAGGAAAAGTGTCTTTTTGGACTTGAGACTTTTGATTTTATATGCTTCACACGGTTCCGTGGTGATAACGGTGCACTATTGCTGGATTCTGTTAATAATTTATTTGGGATGCTTATACTTGAGCATGGGTAAGGATTCTCCCAAGTTTCAACTTACTAGTAATTCAAAACATTTGATTTTAGTGCTAATCAAAATAATTAATTTTGGGATGAGGTGGAGAGTTTTATTTTATTATTTATATTAACTAATTTATTTATATGTCTAAACTATTTTGCATCTTATTTTTTTTTATATTTTTTATTCTTAAATGAGTATGCGGTATATGTCTATATTGAATATTCTCATTTTTTTTGTATATGAATGAATATTCTCAATATTTAGCACAATCATTTATTATGTATCGATAGTCTAATCATAAATCACGCACTAAGATCAAACATGGCTCATTTAGAATCTTATGTCAAGATTTATTAACCAAAATATTCAAATTTATTATCTTATACAATATATATCAATTCATTATTCTCAGAGTTTGGATAACTCTCATCCAAGGATGTTGTTCATATTAGGACACCCTAGTTAGAATTTCTTAGTAGAGATACTTTATTATTTGACAAATTTGTTCAGCCCAATTGAAACTTGACACGTATTGTATCCCTCATGATGATGATTAGATTCTCTAAACTCCACTCATTTTCATTTTGGCTCTTCATGAAGTCCCGCTATAGGATTTTATTTGTCTATCAAATACCCAAATTTAATATCTTATAACAACGGTATCAATTACTAATTCTTGAAGTTTGAACTAACCATCAATCATGGTTGTTGTCTAGATCGAAGACACTCACAAACACTAGAGTTCTGGTCTTAACATGGGTCCTATAGCTTATAATTATCAAACTTGTAGAATTTGCGTTTGCTAAAATTTCTTTATTTTTAGTAATGATAACATTTGAATTCAAAATTATTTGACAATTCTTGATAATTTTGATCTATCATTGAATAACCTCGGATCTAATTTTTGGATCGACCACTACTCCCTTGTTCTACCCATTTTTTTTTTTCTTCTTCTAATGGGATGGAAACGATTCATTGCAAATGCTAGTCACCTTACTATTGGATCGTACAAGACAAAGTATGTTGCTAGCTAACTTATGTGAAACGTAACAATATTTGGTGGCTTTTACCAACAGAATGATAGGATCGACATCAGACAGGATCATATCATATGTTGTGGAAAGAGACTGGAAACCAACGGATGATCGAGCTTGAAAAGTGAAACGTTCATCTTACCCTCCTCAAATCTCTTGTGGAACTTTCATTTTCAATTTAAAGCGTTTATATACATTACGTACCATGAGAACAAACCCGTGACAAATGTCATCTCCCCTAAACATGATTCCCACCACATAAATGGGGGAGGGGGGAAAGCTAAGCTCTCTCTATATATATCGAGTTGGCACAATAGTAAATACACTTATTTCACATATTGCATATAATCAGGATTTCACTTAAAATGAGTCCGACGTCATAATAAATATATATAAAAATTAAATTTTATTAATATTGAAATGACGTACAACATGTTTGCCACTGCTACTTGTTAGAGTTACTAGTGGGATCGTGTTATTTTTCATCACCTCTCACAATGGTTGGACCGATATGATCGTAGTTCGAACTTCGAACGATTAAAGCGTCAAACTTGTCTATAAAATTAAAGTACCAGGTTAAAATCCAACTAGCATACAACCTTTATTCAAAAAATTAAACGTGGAGAGAATCCCAACTCGATTATAGTATAGCCAATAAAAGTATAATTCAGTTCGAATTCGATTTAAGTTTTGATAGAATTTGGGGACCCGGTAGACATAATTTCGGTTCGGTCAAAACCGAACCGACCGAATGCCTACCCTGTCTTGAACACAAGTCATTACATTTTTACTAACTAATTTTTGGATATTGTTTTCTTTGTCGATCATTTTCATATTTATTATTATTTATTATTATTGTGAAGCATGCTTTGCTTGCACAATGGAACAGTATGTTTTCTCGGGGAACTAAAAGGTTGTGAAAGATTTGTGTAGAAAGAAACAGAGAGAGAAGAAGAAGAATGAGAAGACTGAAGAGAGAAAAAAAGGGATGGCCATGGGGGGCAAAGAAAGGTACATGGGAGCCACTTGTCGTCCCACATTATCCAACGGATCATTTAATTCGTTTCTATTATAAAAGTTTTTTTTTTTGCACAAAAAAAAATAACAGTAAAAACTAGAAATGTTCCGTAAAAGTTTTTGTTACTATCAGTAATTCAGTATGGACTTGTCTGCGACGGTAGGGTGCATAAATTTTGTTTGCACATCATTGATAATTAATTGATAATCGAGGAGAATTTTTTTTTCTCAATAAAGTTGACAACCATTTTGGCAATTCATATGGTGTTTTGTTGAGATTGTGAATATAATATATGCATATAACTCGTAAAGCAAATTCAAATTTGGAATATTTTTTTTTTTATCAATTTCCTTTCAATAAGAGTCAAAAAGTCAATACATCTTGTGTTATTTGACCTGACCACAATTGACACGCTGCAGGGAAGAAAAAGTCCACTATGAGCCTGAACCCTTTATATCGAAAAGTCACGACAATAACGTAAAATTGAAACCTCGTTCATAATCTGAATTTAAGTTCTACGGTCAGGTAAAGGGAGCAAATAATTTGGCAACCAACCGGTGATCATCATATCATGCATGGCAGATTTTAGTAACTTATCTTCAAACTTCCACCAAGTAATGAAAAGTTTCTCTTAATAGTTTGGAGGGTCTCACCATTGACTCTTACCAAGAGATAAAAATAAATGGATAACTAATAAATCTAAAATAGAATCCCATTTATTGTTCAACTAATCCAGTTAAGATATTAATGTGATTATAAAAATCTAGTCTGGATAAGATATGATTACATTCACACCTAAATTTCAAATCCAAAATTTTAAACTTGAGATAGGAGAACAAAACAATATTGCATCTAACTTTTAAAATTACACAACTCAATCGTACGTCACCTCACGTAATGAACAATCAAAATCAACGTAAAACATATGTCTGATCCCACAATGCTAACCCGTATGTACGTAAAAAAATCCTGTTCAGACCATGATCGAACCCAAAATCTTAACTGAAATATTAAAAATTGCTAACAGCTTACTAATTACCTATGTACCAGTCCTAATCATCATCTCCCAACCTAACTTAGTTACTGAAATCCCTTTGGTTAAAAAATTTAAAATACAACGACTAGTCAATCTTGTAACCGAAAGCCACAAGTAAAATAATTTCTGGTCTTTTTACTCTTTAAATTAATTTCCCTGCTTAGCAGTTAGCACTGCAGTGCTTTTTCTTCACCCTATTTTCCTTTTTCTATTTTTATTTTTCCTGTAACTGACACTTCTCTTTTTCCCTCGCATTTATAAGCCCCTGAACCGTCCCCTCAATGAAAAAACAAAAAGCCAAACAAACAACAAGAAGAAGGCAGAGGAAGAAGAAGAAGAAGAAAGAAAAGAAAAAAAAATCAGAATCCAAATCCTCTGTTCCTTCTTCTTCTCCTTCTTCTTCTTCTTCCCCATCGAAATCTCTCATACCAATACTTCGATTTTGGTCCACGACTTCCAGCTATGGCAACCGGCGGCGGCGTCAGTGGCATTGGCGGCGGGGTGATGGGAGCGGTGAATCGGGCGGCGGCGAGCGTGATTGGCGGCGCGTCCGATTACTTCCACTCCCTGGCGACGCAGACGCCGCACCGGCTGCGGAAGAGGGTGCTGGCCACGTGGACGCCGGAGCAGGAGCTGACGCAGGTCCGGCTCCGGTCCGGCGCCGACATGAAGCGGAAGCTCCAGTGGTACGACCTGATGGCGCTCGGGATCGGCGGGATGCTCGGCGTCGGGGTTTTCGTCACCACCGGGTACGTCGCCGGGACGTACTCCGGCCCGGCCGTGTTCGCGTCGTACATCGTCGCCGGCATTTCCGCGCTGCTCTCGTCGCTCTGTTACGCCGAATTCTCCGTCCAAATCCCCGTCGCTGGCGGCGCTTTCAGTTACCTCCGCGTCACTTTCGGTACGGTTAATTTTGTTTTTTTTCCACCCCATCTTAAATAGCTAGATAAAAATTTAACATTATTCTTCACCCTTTGACCTCTTTTCACACCCAGAGTCACGGTAAAAAAAAAAGGAAATGAACATTCCCATTTCCGAGCGAGTATATATATGATTTGTAAAAATACATTTATCCACTTATTCTAATGTTGTGACTTTCAGCTGGATCGTTTTCAATCGTTGGAATACATCGTGCATGCGCGCCGATTTCACGACTAAAACAAAAATATGTGGAATGACGATCCAATGTAATTTGTTGATTTTTTTGTTTTTTTTTTTACTGATGCAACTTCTTGTTGTGTTGCAAAACAGGGGAATTCATTGGGTACTTTGCTGGAGCAAATATACTAATGGAGTATGTGCTATCAAATGCTGGGGTTGCAAGGAGTTTTACTGACTACCTTTGCCATGCCGTTGGGGTAAATGACTCGAACCTGTGGAGGGTTAAAGTGGATGGTTTGCTACCCGGTTACAACAACCTGGATTTCCCAGCAGTTGCTCTCATCCTACTTCTCACCCTTTGCCTCTGCCATAGGTTGGTTGGTTGGTCTTTTCCGTCTCTTCTCTCTTTCTTCATCCGTTTCAGTCGTAAAAAAAGTGAAGTGGAGATGTTAACGATCTGACGATCGAAAATTTCGTAAAAGTGAAGTGGAGGGGGGGGGGGGGTGTTAACGATTTGCCGATCGAACTTTTTTTTTTTACGGATTTAATCGAAATTTGTGAGTTTCAAGTCTTGAAAATGAAACTTGACGTGACAGATCGAGAATATTCTATGATCTAAACTAGCACCCTTCCCTCCACGTTTGAGTGTCATTCGCGTTGGTCGAACGAACTGTTTCATTGAGCGTGCGAATGAGTTTGTGAAAGTTAACATTTTTTTTTTACTATGCCTAAAGTAAAAGGTTTGCCATTATGGTGATAATGATATTTTAGGGCTTAACCGCGAGGTAACTTTTTCTTACCTCGTGATTATTGGCTCCTTTGAAGTGTGGCCTCTTTTTAAAATAAGTTCTTTTACAAATCCAATTATATAAAAATTAATGATAATTGGTAATCTTGTTGGTGGTGATAGACTGATAGTGGATTAGTGGTGGTGGTGCTTAAAAATTTAACCCCAAAGAGAACCAAAGTATATTTTCTTTGAGAGAAAAAAAGGAAGTGGTGATTTCTAGGGGCTAATAAAGAGTCTTTATTGTGTACTTGAACCACTTGATGATGGATCTTCAAATATATTTATCCATTTTAAAAGAAAAGAATTTAATTGGGTCCTCATTATTTTTGTGTTGTTGGAATGGATGATGGAGGATGAAAGTGATTGCTCTTCCCCCCATTTTGGATTTTATTAAAAAAACTTAGAAATATTCGTGTGTGTTTTCAATTCTAGGCAGCCTTTTCTCAATCTTATTTTAAGAAAATATCAAATAAATTTTTGGATTTTTTTAGCTACTTTGGATTTCATAATAATTGCTCTAACTGATGTATTCCAATGTCCTTTTTCTGTGACCATAACTGTTTTCTGGGTTTTGGGCCCAAATGTCTTATGGGTAGTTTGGATAACGAGTCAAAATCTACCGAGTGGAAGCTTTCCTAGGCAACTTGCTAAATTTCTAGCATTTTCATCCTCGGATTGGATTCACGGATTTCATGAATTTAACGAACTATCGTCTGCACTCTTAAATCCAAGAGTTTCATCTTCTAAAATTCGTGAATTTCATTTTTAACATTAACAATTCGTCCTTTTTACCCACATTCTTGCAATTCTTTTTTTTTGCAGTACAAAGGATAGCTCAATGTTGAACCTTGTGATGACGGTGTTCCACGTCATGTTCTTCGGGTTCATCATAGTTGCTGGGTTCTACAACGGGAGCGCCAAGAACTTGGTGAAGCCCAGTGGGATGGCTCCCTTCGGCGTGAAAGGCGTCGTCGATGGCGCGGCCATCGTCTACTTCAGCTACATCGGCTACGATTCGGTCTCCACCATGGCCGAAGAGATTCAGAACCCTGCAAAAGCTCTGCCCCTAGGGATCGTCGGCTCTGTTCTCATTGTCTGCATTCTCTACTGCCTGATGGCTCTGGCTCTCTGCGTCATGGTGCCTTTCAACATGGTAATTAGCCCCTAACATTTTCCACCTACAACAGTAGTTACTTCGATCTAACCCTGTTCGTCGCATCGTTACTTGATCGATACACAAAGTTCGCAATTGATGATTTTCCAAATTTGCATATGGTAGATACCAATGGAAGCATCATTCTCAGCAGCATTCCAACAGATCGGTTGGGGCTGGGCGAGCAATGTGGTTGGAGCCGGTGCGAGTTTGGGCATAATTGCTTCTTTACTAGTAGCCATGCTTGGCCAAGCTAGGTACCTTTGTGTCATTGGGAGGGCCAGGCTAGTCCCTTCTTGGCTAGCCAAGGTCAACCCGAAAACCGGCACTCCTCTCAATGCTACCCTCTTCTTAGGTATGCATCTATGCTCCACATAATGACACAATCCAATTGACCGTATTTCGTTGTTACAACTTGAAAAACGTATCATTTGCTGCTGATCGAAAGTCACAAAAGTTCCGTATAGCGAAACTGATATCTTCTGTCACTGAATTAGTTAACACAAATCGTATTAACGAACGATCGCAAACATTTGTCATGATGCAGGTCTCTGCACGGCGTCGATCGCGCTCTTCACGGACCTCAGCATAGTCTTCGAGATGATCTCTCTCAGCACGCTGATGGTGTTCTACCTCGTCGCCAACGCCCTGATCTACCGGCGATACGTGATCATCGGGGGCAGCCCGCCGCCCAACACCCTCCTCTTCCTCTTCCTCCTCACCGCCTGCTCCGCGGGCCTCTCCGTCGCGTGGAAGCTCGACGCAGAGTGGTGGGGTGTCCCGGTGTTCGGAGGCGCCATGATCGCCACCACGGGGTTCTACCAGCTCGTGGTGCCGTACGTTTGCCAGCCCGACGAGGGCTGGCTCGTGCCGTTCATGCCTTGGCCAGCCGCCATCTCCATTTTCCTCAATGTGTTCCTGATGTCGACATTGAAGCTGGTTTCTTTCAAGAGGTTTGCGGTTTGGGGTGGGTTGATTACTCTGTTCTATCTCATGTATGGTGTGCATTCTACTTATAGGGCAGAGGAGATGGGTTTAGGGAGTGACGGTGGCGATGGTGGCGGTGAGATTCCGCAGCAGAATTCTAACTCGTCGCCGGTTCAGCAGAATGTGCATAAGTTAGAGATTCAGATGCAATGATGAACAATTGTGAAAAAAAGGGAGTAGGATAAAGAGGAAGGAAAAGATTGAGGGTTTTGGTCCATTTTTTGCCCTATTCTCAATTCTCATCGTATCCCCATTTGTTATGGTAAATATATGAGACATTTGATGATATGATCCACAAAGTAATTCATGGGAGAGTTGAAAGCACATGATGTCTATATACAAATGTGACCAAATTTAAGCAAATAATGGACTATTATGGGGCCTGAGAGAGACATATTACAAAGCTTAACAATTTCATGGATTTTTATATCTTCGACAATTGTGAAGGCCAAATAGATAACTTCTTGTTCATATTTAATAATGCCATAAACTAACCCATGCTAATTACTCGAGTTATTCATTGAAAAGAAAGCACAATTTTCATTATGCAAGTGTCAAACGGATAACTCCTACTCTTATTTAATAATGTCATAAAAGTAACTGGTCTCAATAACTCGAGTTGTTGAGAGGAGCTCTTAAAACACTTCCGTACGTGTCCTCTCAAATGAAACTCAACTCATGAGCTTGAAGTTTGCACATACCCTCATACTATGTGTTTATAAGACAACAATAGTTAATATTAAGGGTACCGAGGCCTTGAACACATGATTTCAAGACTAATATCATAAACCAACTTGTCTAAACATTGATTACTTGATCATTCCCTTACAAATAGTAACTCTTACAACCTGCTAAACTAATATAGGTAGGTTATAGAAATAATATTGTGGAAGGACTCCTAATACCTTCTCTCATCATTGAAGGAGTGGATAGGAATTAGGATGATGATGGGTGAAAGGTGATAGCGTGAGATCAGTTGGGGCACAAGAAAGCAATGATGAACCCAATATGCAGAAGCAATAATTGGGAACAATAAGAGATCATCAAACAAAGGAAAGGAAAGGAAAAGAAAAGAAAGGAAAGGCACTCTGGCCAAGCCATAACGAACCATATAGAAAAACAAAATGAAATTTCCACAGAAAGTTACCAATGCGTCAAGAGACCTTCCTACCTGCCCAAGGCCCAGGCATTCTACTCATCACCAAGTAAAGCTTTGGCCAAGAAAGATCCGCTCTGATGGGTCGTTCATAAACGACTTTTCTAAAGTGTTCTACGACGTTGTTGTTATCAAAAGCAATAATTAGTTCTGTGATTGGAGAGCTGAAAAACTTGCTTTGTATATCTTCATTACAACCATAATTGAAGGTGTTATAGAAAAGGATGACACTAGCTCAAGAACCCAACACTTCAGAGTGCGAAAGGATTGCCTCATGCTGGTTAAGACCCTTTATGACTCTCTCTCTTAGTGGCCATAGAGAGTTTCATCATGGATTGGTATCATAATCAACATTCTTCGACTTCTCGCAATCATCAAAGTGAAATTTTTCAGGGATAAGTTTAATGTAAGAGCATATTGGGTTGGCTAATTACTTGCTCATAAATCGTAATGAAGTTCCGAACTTCTTGTAGCACCAAGGTCATTTTCACGTTAGTCGGAATGCATTATAAACTCTTGCTTGTGATAAATAAACATGTTAAGTAATCTTACATTCATGAAAAATATTTTAGCAAAATCTATCGTAAGAATTATTATGAGGTACTATTGAAATGAAAATGTACAGAGAAACATCGTAATTCCAAATTCATTAAAAAAATCTTTTGATAAAATCACTCGTTGACATTATCATGAGAAGTATAAGTGGAGTAAAAATGTAGAGAGAAACACCACATGATCACCAATCCTAATCCAGATGGGACCCGGTCTCAATCAAACCAAACATTCAATTTGCCACTTCCCTAATTGCACTTATTTAATTAGCCAAAATTTTATCACTTCAATGGTTGAATATGATTTCATTTTATGAATTTAAGATTACTTGGAAGTATATTTGCAAGTGGGAAAATGAAAGGTCAATCCACTTGTAAGTATATTTGCAAGTGGGAAAATGTGAAAGTCAGTTTGTTTCGTGAATTTGAAAAATGAAAATTTTGAAAAATTATGGATATATTGTGGTTTTCATTTTATTATGGATTTGAAAAATATCATTGTTTGTTTCATAGATTTTATAATATATTTTGTTAATTAAATTTGCATGTATGCAGTGAAATTGACATTTATCGTACTCGGTTGCATGAGAAGAGAAATGAAATAGGAATTGTAGGTTGATCACAAATGATGCACTTCAAAATTCATGATCAATTCTCACCTAAAGAATAAGATTTTCAAGTACATGGGATCCATAAATTTGGACTCTCAAAATACTCGCAGGTCCCACTAATTTGTTATCCCTAAACACATGAAGGAAACAATAGAATTTGGACAAAGTTCATAATAAATCAAATTCATCGAGCGAACAATCTCTTTTTATTTATATATTTAGAAACAACCCTTATTTGTGATGATTCATCGCGGACATATTAACTTATTATGGATAATCACTTGTGATATTCGAATTCTCCTAAACAAAATGAAAATTTCATTCTTGGTACTCTCGTATAACGCTCTGCCGTTCTCACATTTTGTTTTTTCTTCAGATGACACACATATACCATTTTTTTTTTTTTTTTTGTATTTTGTATTTTGTTGATATTTGGTTATCCTTTTTCCTCTTCCACAAGGATGGGAATTGGGTAGGGATAATTGGAAGAGATAAGACCGAAAGGAGTAAGGGATGGTTCTTCAATCTTCTTTCCCAACTGACACAAGCATGACACCACCACCAAACATGACACGTCATCTAGTGGGTCGCCATATCTCTGAGATGCTGGTACAAACTTATTGATCAGTTTCAGTTGGAGATATATTTCTGGTCCCTCTTTGGGATTAGTTCATCTATGGTAATTATCTGGATAAAATATCTATTAAATTTTGGAAGGATAAATTTAAACTCCACCTTAACGATAGAAAAAAGAATTTGATCAAATTCTATTGAATCGGACTGATAGTGAACATTTATTAAAGAAAAGAATGACTCTGGTTATCAATTCATGAATGCATGGATACCAACGAGTATATGAAGATAATCGAGCGAAATAACATCTTTCAAACACCTACAATATTTTATCCTATTCCATAATTTTGACGTGATTATTTCCCATACCCGCTTCTAGGGATGGACAATGGGGTCAACCGCTAGACCCACCCGAATCCACCCGATTATAATCCAACCATTACATGTTTGGGGGATGTGGTGTGCAGGTGTAAGTCACCATTTTTGTCACTCACTAAATTTGGGTGGATGGCGGGAGGGTAGTTGCCAGTGGGTAGGGATGGCAACAAAACCCGAACCACAGGTACCCACCCGACCCAACCCGGTCAACGCGGGTAAAATCCGTGTTGACGGATTTTGGGCCGGGTTCGGGTTTAAACCCGCTACACTATTCACCGAGTCGGGTTGGGTTTGGGTTTAGATAAACCCGACCCATGGGTACCCGCCCACACATATAATTACTTTCCCGGTATATTTAATAGGCAAAATACACCTGTATAGCCATAACTTTCACACTTTTGACAAATATAGCCATTTCTATTCGAAAACCACAAATAGCCAAAAAAATGGATGGTCGTGTGACAAATCTAGCCATTTCAGTTAGAAACTTTAACGGTGTTAGAAACTCCGTCAGTTAGGTTAACGTTAGGCTGACTAGGATGCCAAATCATCGCACACATCATCGACAACTCAACCACACTTGCCACGTAAGTGCCATGTCATATTTTAATTTAAAAATAAATTATTTAATAAATTAAATAACTAATTTAAAAATCATTTTCTTCCCTTTTCCACAAAAAACCATTTTCTTCCCCAAATGCAACCAAACCATCCCCTGACTTCTTAGATTTCCCATTCGCATCTTCCTTCCCAAAATTTCAAATCGCACCAAGACATAGAGCAAAATCATACACTCGTCTTCTCCCCTGTTACAAAATCATTGATCTCTTACAAATTTCCAGATCGCAAATCCCACCGCTTCAATATCGTCACTTTCCTTTTCCATCTCACGACTAGAGGAGCCGGAGCCGGAGCCGGCAGATCTGAATCGACGTCGTTCTGTATATATCCTCCGCCGCCATCACCTCGACGACCGGCAACTCGTCGCCTCGCTGCTGCATCGCGCCCAGTCATCCACAGTCGTCGCGTCTACTCAACCCACCTTCTGGTTTTGCAACGAACGGAGCCTTCCAGCCGGCGGATCTAAAGAAGCGGCGACGACAGCGACGAAAGGATAGCCGCAACAAGCTCCTATCGCTGCCTTGCTGCTTCATTCCCCCTATCGAAAATCTGAAGACCCAAACAACTTCATTTCCCCATATCGCGCGCCGACATCGTGAAGGGAATGGAAGTAGGAGAGATGGGCGGCGACCGGCAGCGGCTACCCCATCACCACCACCTCCGGCGGCGGCCAAAATCTACAATTTTGTTTACAGATTTCTAGATCTCTCCGATTCAGGGTAGGGTTAGTGACAAAATCTCGAATAAATGGGGGAAGGCTGAGCGAGAAAGGGAGAGAGGAGAGCATTGAGAAGTTAGGGTGGAGTTTGATTTTGGGATGGGTTGCGGCGGCGGCTTGAGGTGCTTCTCGGCCTCGAGGGATCCAGCCAGCAGAGAGGGTGTCGATTGAAGCGTTGATTTCTAGGGATAGATTGAAGCTTCGATTGAAGCAGAGAGGGTGTCGATTGAAGCGTTGAGGATTTTGTGTTAATTTATTCTTTTTGGTTAAAACTTTTTTTTTTGTTTTTTTTTTCCATTTCCACGTCTGATTTCCACGTCGGAAGGTGGGGTAACTCAGTGGCCAACTCAGCGCAAGCCGTTAGTACAGTCATAACGTCTACTAACACCGTTACCAAAATGGACGGAATTGGTTATTTATGGTTTTCGAATAGAAATGGCTATATTTGTCAAAAGTGTGAAAGTTATGGCTATACAGGTGTATTTTGCCTATTTAATAGTCTAAGTAATATATCTTCCTTAAACAACTAATATTCTTTATGTTTGTGGAGACATGTATAATTTGTTCTTTCTAATTGTTTAGAATGAAGTTGATATTATGAAGTGGAGAGTGAAGAAACTTAGTTGACGAGGAAGAAGCTTTCAATTAATCTTATTGTTTATAGATGTTTATCTTAAATTTTGAACAATTTGTATTGATCATTTGCGGTTAGGGCTGGGAAATGGTGCGGTCTGGTCCAGACCAGACCATATATACGGTCTACGGTCCAGACCGAGAAGCTAAAGTATAGACCACAGACCAGACCACAGACTATACGGCCTGGTCCAGACCACGCCTGTGCGGTCTGGTTCGGTCTGGTCTGGTCCAGATAGACCACACTCAACGAAAAATGAATAATTTGTTTAGTCAACCACACAAAAAATTAAACCAATAACCAAGAAAAATAATTGTTATTTGCCTTAAAACATTAATCCTAACATGCATGAATAATTTTGATACTTTAAATCTTAGTACATAACAAAGATACAAAGTAAAAGCATCCCAGCTTGCACCATAACGCCATAAACATTAACTTAATGTCATATGGATACACGATTATCTCTATTCTCTGGTTAACTGTGGTTGTGAATGAATGAGGGAAGAGATTCACAAAATTAAGGTTGAGATTTGGGTGTCGTTGTGGGAGTTTGGAGAGTGGTCGAATGGGCTGTTAACATGTATTGACAAGTCAGTTGGGTCCACGATTTGGTCCGGTAAACCGCGGTCTAGACCAGACCAGACCAGACCAAGAGATCAAATCATAAAATAATACAGACCATGGACCAGACCAGACCATATTTCACGGTCTACGGTCCGGACCAAACTGTATGGTACGGTTTGGACCATGGTTTTTCTAACGGTCTGGTCTATTTTTCCAGCCCTATTTGCGGTTTGCTTGTATGCTCTAGATTGATGTTTTTTGTATGATTAATTTGTATGAGAAAATTGTTGTTAAACTTTTATTTTGAAAGAAAATTGTTATTGTAAATTTTTTTCCACAAAAACCCACGGGTACCTATAAACCCGCGGATACCCAGCGGATTGGGTTGGGTTTGAGTTTTTCAAACTCAACGGGTTTTACCCCGGATTTTTTTGGCGGATAAACCCATGAGTTTGGGTTTGGGTTTGACAAAACCCGCCCCAACCCGACCCATTGCCATCCCTACCAGTGGGTGGGTCATTAACCGCAAAATCACATGATATGTTAAGTCATTGATGCACATTCTATAACAAAACACATTTTTTTTCTTATCTCAAAACTTTAATCGTGATTAATTCAATTAAACTACAATGATCTTTTATAGATTTTACTTGATTCTAACATAAAATCAATTATTTTAAAATATGATAGCTATCAATAAAATATTTTGTGTTCATAAATGAGATAATTAGTGTTAGATTATGCAATAAACTACGTTGAATAACTATCATTTTTATAGATTTGCAGTATTGATATTCAATTAGTTTTATGCAAATTTTTATGCCTCATTATCTAATTAATTAAAAATGATTTGATCTACCAAAAAGTCAAATCCACCCATCATTCGTTGTCACTTGTCACCCACCCAACCCACCCAGTACAATACAGATGGGTAAGTATGGGTCAATTTTCGTCACCCACCGCAACAATAAGTGGGTGAATTTTTGCCCATCCTATCCCATTGCCCATCCTAGACCTCTTCACAAATCACAACCAACATGGAAAAATTTCTTCCAGGCTAATTGGATAAGGGAGAGTTGAATACCTACAGTCTAGTTTTGATGAAAGCCAGGATGGAAGGTGGGTGAATTTTTGCCCATCCTATCCCATTGCCCATCCTAGACCTCTTCACAAATCACAACCAACATGGAAAAATTTCTTCCAGGCTAATTGGATAAGGGAGAGTTGAATACCTACAGTCTAGTTTTGATGAAAGCCAGGATGGAAGTTTTGAAAATTCCGGTTAAGCTTATTTGCCTTGTAAAGAGTGTTTACTGTTGAGCTTAAAATACGCCAGCAAGTCAGCAACTATGCTCAGTAACAAACTTTTACTATGTTTGTAGTCTTTCTTCAAATATACTCAAATTTTTACCATCCATTTTCTTGCATTCATATAATCTATTTACATTCATGAAACTCAATTCAAACATTCCATAACACCCATCCTAGGACTAACACATCAATGCATCAAAGGGGTGAACCCAGGACAGGAGGAAACCAACCAATACCAGACTAATTCCTTAAAGTGCAGTCAAAAATCAAAATGGTCGCAGAAGGCAATAAATGACTCTCCAAATGACTGCATTATCCAAAAAAAAGAGAGGAGATTGCAACCAAAACATGAATAGAGACACTATTTAATTGCATGCCCTTGTGTTCTTATCTTCTACACAAAAGAAAGATCGATGATTAATAAATCAACTCACCATGACCGTACATAGTTCAGTAATTCAAATGAACTCAGAACAAAAGGCCTTCTTTTTCTTCAATGTTGCAACTAGATGAAAAAGGGTAAAAAGAAAACCAATAGGAGATCTAAACCCAGCTGATGGAATCTCAATCTCTCCCCTAACGTACAACTATACTTACTAGACCAGAGATTAAAACATCATCATCACCAACCATCACAATCCTCTTCTTATCCTACCATTCCTAAACCCGAAAGGAATCTTCGTAGTATATATACCATATACAAAGCAAAGCAAGATCGATGGTTTCAATCCAAACAAGAAAAAAAGGGAGGAAAGTTCTTGTTTTGACTAGTCACCTGAAAACCCACCCACCATCATCATCATTTGCTTACTTGCTTCAGTCAATGGCTTCGAAATCCGTAGCTGCAACCTCCGAATCGCCACCATTCCTGTTCGAATTCGGCGACATCATCACATCTACCTTCCTCTTCTTATTCTTCGTGTTAACGTCGCTGCTCTTCTTCTTCGTCTTCTTCTTCTCGTAGGCCTTGGCGAACGCCTCCACGATGTCCTGCTGCATCTCGAGCAGCATCTGGTTATGCTTCAACTCCATCCCCATCCTCATCTTCTCGATCTCCATCGCCATATCCATCTTCATCTCTTCCACCATCACAAACCCTTCTCTCAGCATCTTGATCGCAGAGACAACTTCTGCCACGGGATCTTTTCTGGCAGCTCCATCATCAGCAAGACCACCACCACTACCATTCATCTTCCCATTGGGAAACAACCCTCCATTCGAGTTTCGATCAGGCTGTGAAGAAGAATGGTACGGGTGGCTCTTCACTCTAACCCTAGAAGAAGAGACAGAGCCTGCACCGCCCCATTCCTCGGCAATCTTCTTCCCGTTCATCAAATCATCCCTCTCCAACTTCCCACTAGGTTTCCTACCATACCCACCACTCCCATATTCAGTGTCAAACCCAAAATTACTGCTATTCCCTCCGAGCTTCCTATCAAATCTACCGTATTCTTTAGGCATAAACGCTACAGAGACCGAGTTCTGATCCTTGTTCATCATGAATCCAGCTCGAGAAGAGCCACCACGGTTGTCGAAATCGATGGCCTCGCCATAACCTCCGCCGTTCACCTTGCTGAATTTCCTAGCCCTATATGCCAAATCCGGATCGAATTCCAAATCCGGATCTAGCTGATGCCTCTCCGATGGCATCTTGACGCGGAACCCTTCCCCTACGGGATCCCCGCCGCCGCTCGATTTCTCGACGTCCTGTTCCTGTTTAGTCCCGATCGATCCGATCTCCATGGCATCCAACAGAGGGAACAGGTCCCAGGAAGAGAAGAACCGACCTGGAAAATTGGCGCACCGCTGCTTCTCGGCGCGGTACCGCTTCCTGATCTTCTCGATCTTGTGGCGGCACTGGACTGCGGATTTGGGAGGGTCGGAGGGCGCCGGGGAATCGGCGAGCGCGGCGGCGACGGCGTCCCAGTCGGCAGCGCGGAGGTTGCCGCGGTTGACGGCGAACCACTTGTCGCGGTAGGCCTTGATGAGCTCGACGGTCTCCTCCCTCGTCCAGCACGGCGGGGGGACTTTTCTGGCGGCGGAGGAGGAGTCTGCCGCTGCAGCGGCGGCCGCGGCGGCGGAGGAGGAAGACATCGTTTTTTGGAGATTTGTGGGTGGGAGAGGGCCGATTGTAAAGAGAGAGAGAGAGAGAGAAGGAGAGAGGCGGTGGGGTTATGGTGGTGGCCGTGGTGGTGGTAGGTATAAAGGAGGTGGGGAGGCGCAGGTTAGCAGATTTCGTGCGGTGGCCGCGGTGGTCATTATTTTTTTTATTTTTATTTTTAGTTCTTTGTGGGGAAAATTAATGCGGTGGGTCGGTCAAGCGGAGAGTGGTGCGCAGGATAAGGGCGGGGGCACGATTGGAATGTGTGGAGGGCGGAGGAAAGGAGGGGAGGGGAAGGCGGCGGGCGGCCAAACGAACCGGCCAAATTCAAGAGAGAGAAAGTAAAAGTGAATTAAATACATACATCTAATTATGAAGAGAGCGCGCGTTGCAGATCATCATCGTAATAGAGAGAGAGACAGAGTAGCCTATAGCAGCTTTGTAGGAGTTTAAATGGGCCGGGCCGGGCCTTATTATAGCTTATTATCCTCTTTGATGGGAGATGGAGTGGTATGACAATTGATGGGTAGAGGAAGAAGAAATATGTTTCTTGGGTAGAGGGAGAGAGGAAGCTGTGAGGAGAAATGAGGAAGAGAGCGTAAAGAAGGGCAGGGGAAGGGTGTGGAAGATCGGGTTCTGTCGGAATTCCGAATCGAACAGCGGATATAGTCTGATTCGGCCAAATCAAACTGAATTATATTTCTGTCTGAAATCGGTTTCATGTTTAGAGAGATCGGGGGGATTCGGTAATGTTCATTTTTGGTTCGGTCAAATCGAACCGAACGGATGTTCACCCCTACTCTCATACCTCATTCTCAGAACTCAACACAGAGGTGAAATTATTTAATGTAAAAGTAGGGATAACAATTGAACATAAACTCATGGGTACGCAATATGATTTAATCTAGTGATTGCTGATAAAATTCAATGTTTAAGTGTTTTGGGTCGGGTGCGAATTTTACCTGCTTTGAAATTGATAGGTCAGGTTGGGTTCGACGTTTATGAAAACCCGACTTGCTGTCCATCCTTGACCCGACACACACTCATAAAGCAACACGATATTATTTTGTCTTAAACTAGAACCGTATGAACAATTTATGGATTCTTTTCATTTTAAGGCAATATAAACCTGATAATATAGATAATTTATGAATGTTAGCAGACTAGTAGTTTTTATGGAGATATATTTATAGAAAAAATTTAGATAATATAGTGACGTGGATTTTAAAAAGAATAATAATGTAGATTATGTTTATAAACCCACCGAATTTTTGTAATAGTTACACCCATTGAGTTTAGATAAGAGAAACCAGATCCAACTTTGATCATATCCAAGAGCGGTATCCGTTAGTTTATTAATTGCAATGTCATGACTTGTCCGTTAGTGCTTTGACGTCTCATTTAGGAAAACAGGAATCCGACGTTAGAAAAGAACGATACTTCAATCAGAGCTTGATTGAAAGAAAAAAAGATAAATCAGAAGTACAAAAGCAAAGCTACACTTCTCTTAAACATTGTGTTCACAAGTTGGATTTCCGATATAGTTCCACAAACACTTTTAGATAACTGCAAAACTGATAAGGAGCGAAAAAGGGATACTTTGACATATATATAAGATGCATGGGAGCTTCAACAAGCTGATCCTGGAAACCTGATATTAGCTGGAATCTAACGAGGCATCACCAGTCACCACCATCTTTATATGGTCACACCATTGCTTCCGCCTACGATGCTTTTCCCAGATCTCAATCTCTTCTTCCTCAACCTCTCGGCTATGGCGAACGCCAGCTCTAGCGACTGCGAAGCATTGAGCCTTGGGTCACAGTGAGTATGATAACGCGAGTTCAGGTCGTCGAATGTGATAGTCTTCGACCCTCCAACGCACTCTGTCACGTTCTGCCCTGTCATCTCCAGGTGGACTCCCCCTGGGTAGCTGCCTTCCTGGTCATGTACGTCGAAGAACGCCCTCAACTCGCCCTAAAAAACCAGAGCAGATCATATCAGGAATTGGCTAATGGCTATTAACATACTAAAGGTAAATTATTCGACGTTCAGTGACAAGTTTGTCAAAAATCGAAGTACAGATTAAGGAAAGCTTGGTATAGATGGCGAAGGGATTCTCAGAGTTATCCATTACCCTGATAGCATCAAAAGCTCGAGTCTTCAGGCCACAGGGTGCCTTAATCGTGTTGCCGTGCATGGGATCACTGACCCAAGTGACGATTAAGCCAGCATTCCGAACAGCCCTGATTAGATGGGGCAGTTTAATTCGCATGTTGTCAGCTCCCATTCTGGTGATAATCGTCAGCCTTCCAGGTTTGTTGTGAGGATTGAGAATTTCACACAGTTTCACAAGCTCCGATGGATCCATCTTATCACTAACCTGCGCAGAAAATAAACACAGAAATGCAAGCCCAATTATTCCAGATATTTCTCTGGTAAGCTCAACAACATCATAGAGCTTGCTTACCAAAACTTCGCCAATAGCTAGCTGTTATCATTTTCATTTCCCCTTAGCAAAAATAGAAATGCTATAGTGAACAACTGAGACTAAATCAGCATGATCCACTCAAAGTTGACACACATCCTACAATTCTAACTCGCCAAGGCACCAATTCACATTATATGACCTACCCAAATGCAAGATTATGATTTTAAGTGGATGGCATGTGTGATTTATACAAATCAGTACAGTCTGTTTTGTTGCCACAGAGATGGACTCTCTTCTTAAAGGGTTGGAAACTCAAACAGAATCATGATGCAAGAATATCACTCCTTGTAGCTTAACTTTATGATCATTATTCATTAATGGTTCCAGAGATGATGGACACAGCTACCGTACCTTAATGCCAAGAGGATTTGAGACACCCCGGAGAAACTCGACATGAGCTCCACCCAACTGCCTAGTCCTCTCCCCTACCCAGAGCATATGAGCAGAGCAGTCATAGAAGAGACCCGTCGTCGAGTCTTCCCTTGTCATGGCCTGCTCGTAAGGCAGATGAAGGCACTCGTGCGATGTCCAGAACTCGGTCGTGTTCATGATGGGGTGATCAATGGTAAGACCAGCTGCAGTCATGAACCCAATCGCATCATCCACCCTACTCGCTAGTTCCATGTACCTGCCATTAACAGCAGAAGGAAAAACATTAATTACTAGCCATTTGTAACAAAATCTGGAACCTTCCAAGTTGCAACTGAGGAAAGGAATAAAAGGCCATAAGGAAACCTATTATACCTGTCTCCTTGCTCACTGTGCTGCACAAAGTCGAGATTCCATTGAGAAACTCTCTGCATAGCAGCATATCCACCGGTAGCAAAAGCTCTGAGCAGATTCAAAGTGCCAACGGACTGAAGGTAAGCCCTGATAAGCCTCTGTGGATCAGGAACTCTGGATTTCTCATCAAAGGCATCGCCATTGATGTTATCGCCTCTGTAACTCGGCAGCTTCACCCCATCCTTGGTCTCAAATGAATCCGACCTAGGTTTCGCAAACTGCCCAGCCATTCTCCCAACCTAACACGAAAAAAGAAATACAATTTGAAAATTGAACCGAAATTGGAACTGAATCAAAGAAATTAGGGATTTCGGACTTTCAGTTTTAACCTTGATGATGGGCATTTGAGCACCGAAAGTGAGAACGATGCCCATCTGGAGAATAACACGGAAGGTATCCCTAATCATGTTGGCATTATAATCCTGGAAGCTCTCCGCACAATCCCCGCCTTGCAAGAGGAAAGCCTTCCCGACGGCGGCGCTGGCGAGCGCATCCTCGAGCTTCCGTGCCTCGCCGGCGAACACGATTGGCGGGAACGCGCTGAGGGTTTGGAGGACCGATTCGAGCTCCTCGTTGTTCGGGTACTCCGGGATCTGGACGGCCGGCTTGGATCTCCAGCTCTCCACGGACCATCCGGGCGCGACGGCGGTGGGATTGGAGGAGGTGGAGACCGAGACGACGATGGAGCTCTGGCGGGAACGGCGGCGGGAAATGGCGGGGGCGAGGCGGGTGGAGAACAGACTAGTGATGAGAGAGGCTGATGAAGTGGTGGCCGGAGTCGGGGTGGCGGCCACGGCCGGGTTGGTCGCGGTGGATAGAGCCATGGCGATGGCGGCGGCGGATGTGAGATATGGGGAAGAAAGAAAAGGAAAAGGTGGAATGGTGGAGAAAAGAGACAGCGGAGCACAGTGTGAGATCGGTATCGTTGCCACACGGATTTTTTTAGTAATATAAAGGTTTGAATTTGAATACGTCATTTAATTTGATTTTTTTATTTACTATAGATTTTCTCTGTTTGCGGCTGCCACCACAACTCGACAGATATTTTCGCTGGGCCTGTAGTTTTTCAGAAAAGACGACTGTTCCACCAACCGCAACAAATGCGACCTCTCGTTCAATTTAATCAACGAGGGTTTTTGTGTTGGACTCGTTGTAATCGTTTCGTTATTATTGTTTGGTATATTTAATTTTACCCCAGTTGATGATGGAAAAGGATTGGTGTGTGCAAGTTGTTAATGACGGCAAGAGAGAGGTTTGGGATGAGTTTGCCACTCACTTTTGAAGCGAGAGTTTCTGCGATATGGGGAGATAAATGATTCTTTTTGTTATTTGTAGCGGCAGATTCATAATAGGGTAGAGTACTTAGCTATATTTAAAAAGAGTCGGAGAGAACTTGGTCGTAACCCAATAAGTGTCAGGAACTGGTAGGAAAGAATTGGATTGAAGGCGTGATTAGATCACTCTTCTTAGATTGTTATTTGTCCCCACTACAAATTACTGGTAGGCTCGAGCAAACCACCCCCAGGAGTCCCTTCAATTCTAAGTCTGGAAGCAGCAATCTTGCAGACTTATGTGTTTATGAAATAGAGAAGGAAAAACTGGAAGAAGAAGTAATTTCTCCTTATAAAAAGAGTTATGGCAATCACATATTTATAGTTGTGAAAATTGGAAGTTACCTTCCGAAGAGACACATCCTTTCGCAGAAAAAAGTAGTTACTTCCCCGAAAGGACACATCCTTTCACAGAGAAGGGTAGCTACCTCTCCCGAAAGGACACGTCCTTTCACAGAAAAGGGAAGTTATCTTTCTAGAAAGACACTTCTTTTCACAATATTCAAACATTAATTAATTAGTTATACAAAAATTAACTAATTAATTAAATTGCCAAAAGACTCAATTCTTGTACTTTTCTCCTCCCATCAATGTGGTATTACAACTCTATTGACTAACTCTAACAATAAGCACTGAAACGAATACATAAACTCGAACATTTATAAGGGATATACTAGCTCTGGATCCAGGGGAGGGCTGGGTCGTGGCCCGGGGGAGGCCCCCCTAGATCCGCCGCTGGTCGTTTGTGAAATTTGGGGAAAAGAAAAGTTGGTTTTAAGAGGAGACGAAGTAATGACAAGTAGGGCTGGAAAAATAGATCAAATCGTTTGAAAAACCACATACTCAATCGGACATGGTCTGGTCCATGATCTATATTATAGGATGTATTGATTTCTTGGTTTGGTTCGGTCTGGTCTAGACTGTGATTTATCGGACCAAACCGTGGAACTAGGCCACTTGCCAATTCATGTTACGAAGCTCACTCGACCACTCTCACAACTCTTCAACGAGACCGAAATATCAACTTTAGTTAATATCATCCCGTCCTTCATTCATAAACTCCACTCATGCATAGAGTAGAGACAATTGTGTCTCCATATGACATTATGTTAACATTTATGAAGTTATAATGCCCGTTGGGTTGCTCTTTGTATTTTTGTTATTTATTTGGATTTATCGTATCAAAATTATGCATGCATGTTTTAATTTATGCTTTAGGGGGAAAATACATTATTTTTCTCAGTTATTGGTTCGATCTTTTGTGTGGTTGACTAAACAAAATGTTCAATTTTCACTAAACTTGGTTCACGTGGTCCATAATGTACCGGACCAGACCGCACAGGTGTGATCTGGTCTGGAACGTGTAGTATTTGGTCTGATCCATGGTCTATGCTTCAGCTTCTTGGTCTGAACCATGGACTATATGTATGGTCTGGTATAGACCAGACCGTACCATTTCCCAGCCCTAATAACAAGGAAACAAATAATTAAAAGGGAAATATTTAAGTAGGTTTACAAAAAAGAGGCAAGGAGACTGTTAAAAATTTGGACTAAATAATGAGTCATTTGAAAATGAGTATTTGAAAATTATTTGATGGTGTCATTTGAGATTTTCGTATGAACGAAATGAATCTTTTTTTTTTCTTTGTAAAATTAAAAATGCAAAAATATTCAGTATTTGATTAAATGATGAGGACTTTTACAATGCTTCATAGCATCTGTGTTTTCTTTTAAAAAAAGCTAAATATTTTTTCTTTGAACTTATACGAACAATATTTTTTAACAATAAAAAAAGAATTTGTATTTTTAACGTTTTGGTATATATTCAGTTTGTACATGTATCTTTTTTTTTACAAATTCCATTATAGCACAAACGAAACTTGTACCTTTATGTTATAGTACAAGTTCATATCATATATAAATTTTCGAACAAATTCTTGTATTACGAACTGAACTTGTACTTTTAATCCTATAATACAAATTCATTTTGTATCCATAAGCACCAATACCTTGGAGCATAGAATAGTGACTCTTAAATGATTAGAAGAACTCAAATCATAATGAAACGACTTCCCATAAACTTATTGATGAAACTGGTTATACTTATACAAATTTGACCAGGTAGTGTCACACTTTAATCTCGGAAATTTAAATTTCAATAGCTATACTGCTATAACATACAACCTAATTCCCCTCACTTTCATCTTTCTTCGCCTTTTCTAAGTTACTCCACTTTTGCCAATCTTTCTTGCCCTTGAGGCCGAAAGGAGTTCAAGCTTAGGCCAAAATATGGGCTTGGCATTGGGCTTTCCGTGTTTCCCCAAATAAAGCGAGGAAGAAATTTCAAACCTATATCAAAATTACCACCAAATCAAACATAGATCAAACTATTGGCAAAAAAAAAAAAGGATTATCAAACAATTTGGATTGAGGGATTCAAAGATGTTTCTATCATAACTAACCATTACTTAGAACCATTTTACAGTAAATAGTTCAAGGACTGAAAATTTTGTCTAATCCAAACAGAAGAACACAGAGAAGGCTCTTAACTTTATATACTACACATTTGACATTACTGTCAAGAATCAAGATATAAAGAAAGGGTTCAGTTAGAAACTGAGGTTAGTGCTATTGTGCTAATCACGGCAATTTTCATAGGCCAGATTACTATAAGATGTGGCAGTATGATCAGTCCTCTGGCTGGAACAACGTATAGGTTGAGCTTGCTTCAGACTTTGTAACCTGCACAATAATGTGTCAACAATGATCAGTATATACTGCCCCCACTCGAAACTTAGTATTGATTTGTCGAAAAAAGTCTGAATCCTGTTTGGGATAGAATCAAGATCTATAGGATAAACAGAGAATCTAAAAGTCCTTGCATACTGACCTCAGGGTTTCTGGACATTCCAGAAGGAAGAACAGGAACCAGGGATGTCCAAAGTAGAGGGTCAGCCAAAGGGTCAACGCTGCCATTGTAGTTGTTCACAAGTTGACCAGACAGGAATGAAGTTAACGGGTACATGTTCCTGTGGAGAGACAATGCTGCTGGACTCATTCCTAATCCAGCTCCAACTCTATTAACGCTGCTACTATTGCCATGACTCATAGTCGACTTGTCATCAGCAGCAGATTTGTCATAATCCATCTTGTTGATCGTCGTCTTGTTTTCATTTTCGTCGTTATTTTCCGTCCTTTTGGATGCCTTGTCTTGCAACTGTTTGTAAGCAGCAGACTGTGAGAGAAGGCTCAAGGCCGAAACTTTATCCTTCTTTGGTTCAGAAGAAAACCCTAGCTGGGGCATCTGGAATGGTTGAGTAGGCCGTACTGCCCACTCCAAGGTTCTGAGTTCTCGGGCAACATCGTCTGAAGAGCTATGCATTGGGTCCTCGGATGATCTGGAGATGGAGTCTACTTGACGGATTCTACTGGGAGCCCACCATTTGATGTAAGATGTTAGATCGATCTTTCTATCCATGCAAAAACCGCCAATGTATTCATTCTCAACATTATCACCTGCATCATTATATTAGATATCAGCATTAACATTTGGGGGTTGACAATCACTTGAGGATAAAAATTACTATTGAAGTATGTTTTCATTTCAATCTCAAACTGTAACGTGAGACGAAATAAAAAGAGAAAGAAACTGTGATTAAGTTTTAGAGATCTAATGATACCGTAGTTCACATTACTGAAGTGGCCAGGTCCGGTCATACGACCAATCGACAAGTCCCATCGATTACTTCATGATCCCCAGAAATATGGAAAAGAGAAAGAAACAGAAGGTGGCCAATAAGTCTCCACTCTCTAGAGTATGAAATTAGCTGCCCGTGTACTCTTCAAAACAAATACTGAAAACTACTATTCAATAAACCTAGTCATGGCATGCACTAGAGATGTATCAACTAGTCCTTCTTGTCAATATGCTTACAACTATCAATTAATCTTCTGGGAATCCGACAATCATGCAAATGAAGAAAACGAAGAAAAAATACCTGGAAAGCCCACGATATTTGGAGATACCTCTTGAAAACCCACTACTCTTTCTGCAGCAAACATTTTCTCACAAATAAGCACAATGGATGCGAAACAGGAAGAACTTTTGAAGGCAGAAATACCTTCGAAGAGAAGCTAGGTATTCCTCCCGGGAGACATTCTGCATTTCATCAAGATCTCTCGTGTAATCTGAAACCTGAGGAGTGCAAAGAAGAAAAAGAATGGGGCATGCAACAGACAGAAAGAAGATCAATACGCATAAAGACACAAATAGATAACACAATTGAATTGGAAAGATGAGACTCCAGATAAAAGCATCAAATTTGGAAACTTTCTCACAGGAAAATTGATGAGTGTGCCAGGACCCCAATATTTCAAGGCAGCAAGGTCATATGCTCTAGCTGCAGCCTCCTCCTCGTCATATGCCCCTGTAAGTAAATCATTACCCTCAAGTATAATTTGTAATGCTAAAATGAAATTCCAAGAAGGACAATAGAGAGTTCGCTCACCTAAGTATACTGGGCACATCGAGTGGCAAACACAGTTCCAGGCAGAAAAGGAAGATCTAATCAGTTTAATCCTTATTATAGCTGCACATGTCTTAACAAATATGAAAGCAAGCCAATTGAACAAAGGGTCCTATGGAACTCTAACCTTGTTTTCCCTTCTTATTCTGGTTTTGATTCCATGTACTTTTATCCCAAAGATGAGCTTCATAGCGACCTGTCCATCTATGCCTGATATTTAAATTGGAAAAGATGAAACCTTGAAGGTATTAAAGCAGAGTTTGAAGGAGCTGAAAATCGAGATCAATGGCATCACTATCCATTCACTCAGCACAATCCACCATTGTAATCTTTGAAGCTATGGAAATTGGCAAACATAACATCTGCCTAGATCTTATGAATTCACGACGACACGACGAGGACTGAGAACAGACTAAGCTAGAGGTAAGCCCCATCACTTTACGGCTCCGGTTATTGCATTATCTATTGCCTCTGAGGCATATCATCAAACACGTAACACGCATACAAAATCAGCAAGTAGCTTTCAATCAAACCCGCCATTCAAAATCCAGCGCCAACAAGCAAGCTACAGAAATGGAGTTTATATAAGTTCCCACACAAACCGTACCTGGTAACTCCACGGTAAATGGAACTGCGTTTCCCAGCAGTACAAGGAGGCATCTTGCTGATTCGTTCTTTCGCAGTACATCCCCTGTCCTTCTTCGCTTTCTTCAACCCTCTGTACAGCAACATCTGATCGTTAGTAACCACGGCCGCTTCTGAACTCTCTCCCCCGCCGCTGCTGCTCCCGGCTCCTCCTAACTCAGGCTTCATCCCCGGGTCCGACGAAGATGAATCCATGATCCACAAAATCCTTCACTATTGTTCCCACCTAAGCAATCAGTCTCCCAACTTAGTCCATCCCAAAAACCTGAAACTCGAGAAATGACACGTTCGTATGAATTGGCCAATCTCCTCCACCCCCCTCAACCTCTTACCTAATCAATCAGAGACGAGTGCCGCCGGCGAGCCGTTGAGCATGCGCCGGTAACAGAACGGGACGTTTCGGAAGATCCAAGCTACAGCTACAGGAGTTCGGAATCGGCAAGCCGAGAGAAGGTGATAGAGAAGTAGACACTGTGAGAAGTGAGCTCGCTTGGTGAAACCGAGTGGGGAGTGATCGGGAATGATGCCGCCGACGGTTCGTGGAAAGCGAAAGGGCTGTCTGCCTGATATTTACAACCGTTGCCGTCGGCGTCATTAGACGCGATCGGGGAAGTTCGCAGGTTTCCTCAGAAGAAAGGGAGAACGTGGGAAATCAACGATCGTCGCCGTAGAATCGGCTCTCTGCTCCAAGGATCGACTATACCGTTTCGAATCTCTCGCTCCTTCCGCTCGCCCTTCCCCGACGACCCTTCACGCCCCATCGCCAAAGTCGTCGTCTCCGTCTCTCAACTCCAACGACGACGAATCTTCTACCCAGATATTGCCGCCACCGGGTTACGGTTTACCGAGCACCGAATAAGAGAGAATAGGGCCGATGATGGCGGCGACTCCTCTCTCTCCTCTCCCGTCCTTTGCTCTGGCGACCAACAAAGGGAGATCAGACGCCAAGTCGCCAACCATGAACGAGGACAGCGATGACGACGACGGTGCTAGGAGGACGGCTTCGTGACGATGGGAGACGACCAAGTCGCCGTTGGCATTGGCGGTTACGATTCCGGGACAGTGGCGGTTACGCCAGATAAGTGCTCTCTCATTTTTATTTTTACTATTATTTATTTAATTTTTTTTATAATTTTCCTTCTTAATTAATTTTTTTTATTATTCTTTCCAAAGCTTATCCGTTTTATTTTCTTTAACTATGAATTCTTTTTAAAAAATTTATTCTAGAAAAGAAAATATTAGTCCCATCTTTGTAAGTGGGTTGCAGAGTCCGTATTGACTCATAATGGTTGACATCGTGCTTTGCCGGTGATGGCCCTCTCCGTTGTGGAGCCTATCAATGTTACTCCACGGTGGAGTCTTCCTTTCTCATTCATTTCGTACTGTTTTGCTGATGAGGATGTCCAACCGGCAGCTCTAAGATCCATTTGGATTGCCTATTTGTTTTCTTGTTTTGCAGGTCACTTCTAACTGCTTATGGAGCTCTATGGCTTTCTACGGAAAGGGTGCGGCTTCGGTTGGCATTCCGGGTACACTGCTCATCCGGGCTTTTGGACGGAGTCGTTTGGAGGACCGATGAATGTCATGTTTGGCAACTCTAATGGCCGGTTGGATAATCTTGACGAGGAAGCGTTTTGCTTGAGGTTATAGGAGCAATGATTTTGGCATAGTTGTTTTCAATATTTATAGATATTCCGCCGTTTGTGGCTATGTGTTTGTTCATTTTGCAGGTACAGCTGCTCATAGGGCTGCCCATTTTGTGGCATATCAGGCCCTTTCATCGGTAGTTCGACTATTTGTCGACTGCCGCACGGTGTTATTTTCTGTTCTTTGACTATATTTTGGTCAGGGATTTACCTGACTACTGTCTATGTAAAAAAAAAGAAGGAAGCAGAGAGTGAGAGTAAAGGGTTTTATGAATTTCCGCCAACTGATTTCCATTTTTCACCATCTTCAAAAGAGCTGACGTGGCGGTCGAACTTCAACGGCAACTTGGATAGTTGGGTTTGCTTTAATTTTCTTACCGGCCAAATACGCAAAACGCTTACAAAAATACGCAAAACGGCAAATTTGACCGAATCTTGGAGAAAAAGTAACTATTTCGTGAATGCATTCAATTAGACAATTAGTCTTTATTAGTGTTTTTTTTTTTTTTTTGGATATCAAAGGAGGCCGAAGCCAAGAAAGAGAGAGATTACAGAGGAGACTATCTAGTAGAGGAGGAGGTCGCCACAATCCGGCGCTCGAAAGTGACACCCATCACGTCATCTTGCAACAGAGGTAGAAATTCCAAAGGTGGGTCAACCAGCTCATACATACCGTAGGGATAGACGAGACTGTGTTTCGAGAGCCAGTCCGCGACTCTATTCCCTTCTCGATATGTATGAGTCAAGCTAACCAACCAGTCCTGTCCAATTTTCCTGCGAATAAGGTTCAAGAGGTCGCATAAGGATGAATGGGATCATGACGTTCCTGAATCAGCTGGATCGCAAGCTGAGAGTCCGAAACTAATTTCACCGCCCGGTGACCGAACTTCCAAGTGATCTCTAGCCCATAGTAGATAGCCCATAGCTCAGCTAGCACAGCAGTTGCTGAGCCAATACCTGCCACAAAACCTCCCAACCAGTTCCCCAATGGACCTCGCACCACTCCACCAGCGCCGGCTGGCCCCGGATTTCCATTGGAAGCCCCATCAGTATTTACCATAACCCAGTCTTTATTAGTGTTGTTAGAGTTGAAAAACCAAGATAACCAATTTAATCACTGGTTTAAATTAGGTTTAGTTGGGTTGGTGTGGTTCAAAACTCGAATGATCCATTAAACTAATTAATCGATGTATATTATACTGTCTTGCTTGATATAATATGGACAAGGTATGCTCGCCTCTAAATTTAACTGATCAATTTGCTGATATTTATGTGGTCGATCAAATCTAATTCCACAAACAAAATCAAGGTCAAATAAGATAGCTTCCAATAACTTTTTGAGTGTGTCCTAATATTAGCAGGAGTAGAGTCAAGATTCGAGACTCGCGGAGCTTGAGTCATTTAGCGTGCGATAAAAAATCAAAATAATATAAAAAAATTAGTATTATTACTGTTGGGGGTGTGACTAAGGGACGGAGCGAACAGACTAAGCAGTAGGGCGCATAATCGGCGATGCCCAACGCTCGATACCCGCTACAGGTATATAAGGGCTTGAAGCCTCCAAAGGGGGGGGGGGGGGGGGGGGGACTTCTCTCTTCTCTCCTCACTTCCTACTTTTCACTATCTCTCTACACCTTATCTCTCTATCTTATTCTCTCAACTTCCACCCAAAATAGGCTCTGACTTGCTCGTCGGAGCTTAATCCGGGGGGCAACCCCGACTCTTTCACAGGTTCTCTCCCTCCCGACGAGATCGGACGAACGGACGACGAGTCAACCCACACCAACAAATATCATTGTTCGATCCGAAGCTAGATGGTTCAAACAATTGGCGCCCACCGTGGGGCTGACTCATCGATTTTGTGAGTCCAATCTCTTAAGGATGGGAGGCGCAAATCAAAGAAAAAAAGTGAGACCCGAAATCTTGAAGAAAAATGGAAAAGCACCAGCTAGTCCGCTACTATGTTGGTCTCCGGTCTGCCCGATCATCCAACAAGGTTGATGAAGATGCCGGTCGTCGTCAAGAAGCTCGTCATCTTCCCCGACGCCCGAGTGACGCACCTTCCTCCTCCACCGCCACTCTGTTCGAATCCGCAACTCGAGGAAGAAAGGAAGAAAAAGGCAAATAAAAATCAGCAGCAGGCTAGCAAGCGATTCAGAGTTTTGTCTCAATACCACAACATTCTAGTCACCCTCTTCTCTGCAAAAGAGGAAGCAAAGAAGTAGAAATTATGGTCGGCAGCAAGACTTCCGGCACCAAACGTCCGGCGGGTAGTAACACTGATGTCGCTATCAATGTCCAAGTTATCCCACTCCTACTGCTCATCTACAGTAGACAGGCCCGCAAAATCGGGCAAATCGGATGGTCTTGTCACACTTTCTCGCTTCCCGAGGAGTGACAGAAAGGCGCACTTCCCAAGGCCAACTCTTCGCAAGTGGGCTACAGGATGGAAACTCCTCGACGAAGAAGATCTGAATCGCGTAGCAATCGAGGGGCGGCTGCGCTGCTCCTCAACTCCTACCTCTACCGCCGTCGCGCCAACGGACCTGGGCCCGAGCCCACCAAGGTCTCCTTCATAACCTGGCGCCTCTTCCTCGCGTCCGCCGCGCTTGGCCTCCGGACGGGCCTCGATGCCTACCTCCACGCCTCGGGCGCGCCATACCTGCCCGTGTCCACGTCATCGCTAATCATCGCCTCCTAGCTAGCGTTCACGGCAGTGTTCGCGTTCCCGCTGGTGAAGCAAAAGTTCACGCCCCTCTCCGTCAAGGCCGTGTTCCTGCTCCGCCTCGAGGCAGGGGTGTCGGCGATGCACGCCAGCGGGGACAAAGCCAACCAATGAGACGAAGGCATGACCATGGGCGCCGCCGTGCTCGCGCTCTCCGCTGTAGCAAGCGCTCCAGCAAAGCAAAAGCGGAACGCACCCAGCACTCTTGACGCGCTCATATCAGCGGCCGCCGATGTCCTCGCGGGCGTCGCCGGCTTTCGCCTCTCCATTCCTCTCTCAATTCTCCCGAGTGACCTGGTTACAAAAAAAAAAAAAAAAAAAATAGAGAGAGAAAAGGAGATATCTCGAGTGTAATCTTCTCCGCACCGCTATCCCAAGTTGGGATCACGCTCCCAACCTCTTCTCCGCGCGGAAGCAAAGTAGAGAGAAGAGCCTCTCTCTTTTTTTTGGGCTCGCACACTCAGCCCACACACACAACAATCCGGCCTCCTCCGTCCCACGCCAGATGAGCCCACAACCACACGCGGGCCAGCACTTATCTCCCTCCATCCGGCCTGCTCGCGGGCCTGCTTTCCAACTCGCGTCTCTGGGCTACCTTCCGCCTCAAGCCCACCCGCGGCCCATTTCTTTAATTCACATCAGCGTCTCAAGCCTTGCTCCTCCTCCCGCCTCCAAGTGTTTCCGCGACAATGCACTCGCTTCTTTAATTCACATCAGCGTCTCAAGCCTTGCTCCTCCTCCCGCCTCCAAGTGTTTCCGCGACAATGCACTCGCGGCCCGCGCCGCTTCTGGCCCAACAGGCGATCCATCAGCGCTCCACTCGCGCCAAAAATATTATTGTCGCCGGGAGGACTCGAACCCGCAACATTGTTCTTCCAGACAAGCGAGGTGACCAGCAGGCTACATATGCGCCTTATGTTTCAATGGCGCGCGGCCAAGTTAAAACCTCCTGCACCATTGCTCGCGCCCAAGCGCACTCGCGGCCCAACTCAACTTAGCCCGCCTTCTCTATTCGCGGCCCACTTCCGCTCGACGGCTCAGCTCGCGGCCCACACAACTCGAGGCCCGCCAAGCCCAAGCTCCGCTGCACTTCCAAAAAGAAAAATTGTTGTCATCGCGAGGGCTCGAACCCGCGCCACTCCTTCGACAGGCAAGCATCCTTACCAGCAGGCCACAAGTACCTTGTGTTTCAACGGTGTGGCGTCTGAATTTTAACATTCACGCCCACTCAGTTCGCAAGAACAAAAACTTAGCAATAGTCCAGCACTATTCGCGCCTAGTTCGAAAGAACAAAAATTAGCAATAGTCCAGCACTATTCGCGCCCAGTTCCACGGAACAAAAAATTAGCAATAGTCCAGCACTATTCGCGCCTAGTTCGAAAGAACAAAAATTAGCAATAGTCCAGCACTATTCGCGCCCAGTTCCACGGAACAAAAAATTAGCAATAGTCCAGCACTATTCGCGCCTAGTTCGAAAGAACAAAAATTAGCAATAGTCCAGCACTATTCGCGCCCAGTTCGAAAGAACAACCTGCAGGCTACCACTCAGGTTCTGTTTCAATGGCGCAGCGCCTGCCTTTCAACTACTCCTGCCGCCACTGCCAATATAAAGCTAAGTACTCTATCCCTCCATCATTATTAAATTTTTAAAATATTTTACTATCCTAAGCGTTAATGGCGCTAATGGGGGGCAAGACGCAAGAAGCTGGCACCGCGTCACTCAAACGCGCCACCAGCTGGGGGGCAACTGGGGTACATAGGCCCCACCCAAAATTACCGACAAAGATTTAAAAAAAATAAAATATAAGCTAGTGATGAGTTAAAACTCACCACCAGCTTGGGGGGCAATTGTTGGGGGTGTGACTAAGGGACGGAGCGCACAGACTAAGCAGTAGGGCGCATAATCGGCGATGCCCAACGCTCGATACCCGCTACAGGTATATAAGGGCTTGAAGCCCTCCAAAGGGGGGGACTTCTCTCTTCTCTCCTCACTTCCTACTTTTCACTATCTCTCTACACCTTATCTCTCTATCTTATTCTCTCAACTTCCACCCAAAATAGGCTCTGACTTGCTCGTCGGAGCTTAATCCGGGGGGCAACCCCGGCTCTTTCACAGGTTCTCTCCCTCCCGACGAGATCGGACGAACGGACGACGAGTCAACCCACACCAACAAATATCATTGTTCGATCCGGAGCTAGATGGTTCAAACAATTACTATAGCATTATAAGAAATTTTTTAAGAACTAAAATCCCTATATACTATAAATCACTACTATGATATGGTGAAAACAAATATACTTTGGTGTAAGGACATTTTATGAAGACGAAAAATGCAATGAACATAGATTTAACACGCGACCTTCAGATCTTTAGCCTGATGCTCTCCCAATTAAGCTATCCCCATCAATAATTTCTCTATTTTTGCGAATATTACATAACAACAAGCCAATTATTTCTTTACTTTTGCGAATATTACATAACAACATAGTAGTATATTAATGATACAAAGAAAAAAATGCGGTGAGCGTGGATCGAACACTATAACTACTACTATGATATGGTGAAAACATATATAATTTGGTGTAAAGACATTTTAATTTTTATGAAGGTGAAAAATGCAATGAGCATGGATCTAACACGTGACCTTTAGATCTCAGCCTGATGCTCTCCCAATTGAGCTTTTCTAGCCAATAATTTCCCTATTTTTGTGAATATTACATAACAACATAGTAGTACATTAATAATACGAAGAAAAATGTGACATTTAGATCTCAACCTGATGCTCTCCCAATTGAGCTTTTCTAGCCAATAATTTCCCTATTTTTGTGAATATTACACAACAACATAGTAGTACATTAATAATACGAAGAAAAAAAAAAGCGATGAGCGTGGATCGAACACGCGACCTTTAGATCGTCAGTCTTACACTCTCCCAACTGAGTTATCCCTGCGAATAAGTTTAATTTGTCTCCGAATACAACATACCCAAGTAACACTATCATAATATGAAACACAAAAAATGCGGTGAGCGTGGATCGAACACGCGACCTTCAGATCTTCAGTCTGACGCTCTCCCAACTGATGCTCTCCCAATTGAGCTTTTCTAGCCAATAATTTCCCTATTTTTGTGAATATTACACAACAACATAGTAGTACATTAATAATACGAAGAAAAAAAAAGCGATGAGCGTGGATCGAACACGCGACCTTTAGATCGTCAGTCTTACACTCTCCCAACTGAGTTATCCCTGCGAATAAGTTTAATTTGTCTCCGAATACAACATACCCAAGTAACACTATCATAATATGAAACACAAAAAATGCGGTGAGCGTGGATCGAACACGCGACCTTCAGATCTTCAGTCTGACGCTCTCCCAACTGAGCTATCCCCGCGAATGAGTTTAATTTGTCTCCGAATACAACATATTCATACCCAAGTAACACTATCATGATATGAAAACAAAAAATGCGGTGAGCGTGGATCGAACACGCGACCTTCAGATCTTCAGTCTGACGCTCTCCCAACTGAGCTATCCCCGCGAATGAGTTTAATTAGTCTCCGAATATAACATATTCATGTTCAAGTAACACTATCATGATATGAAAACAAAAAATGCGGTGAGCGTGGATCGAACACGCGACCTTCAGATCTTCAGTCTGACGCTCTCCCAACTGAGCTATCCCCGCGAATGATATTAATTTGTCTCCGAATACAATATAACAAAGTAACAAATTCATGATATGAAAACAAAAATGCAGCAAGCGTGGATCGAACATGCGAACTTTTAAATCTTCAAATCTTCAATTTGACGCTCTCCTTACTAAACTAATCAAACACGCAACCTTTAGATCTTCGGCCTGAGCTATTACCGCTAATGAGTGTACTGTTGGTAGGGGAGCTTTGTGGCAAAAACTTGCAGAAAACGGGGTTCCCACTGCCACTCTGCATAACTGCATTATGGAACGGAATAATATTTAATTATGACAAACTTCCTGGAGGGAAACCAATAAAAATACAAACAATGAACAAGCTCCCATAGAATGGGAATAATTCTAATACAAGAACAATGGAAAACTAAAAAGAACACTCTTGAATCGACTATGCCAGCAACTAGCTCAAGCCGCATTTATGAACAAGCAAATGCACCAGCAATAACAGAGTGCCTGATCCAATCATCTGTGGGGCTATAACAACGTAGGATACTTGGCGTCGAGGAAATCTCTGAGCGTGCGAGCTGCTTTTTGGCCACCCATTAGCTCAGCTAACTTCTCCGCAGGGAGAAGAGCCAGTTCTGCTAAGCTTTTACAACCGTCCATGATTGCCCGATAGTTCGAGTCGTTCACTCCTGGAAGCCGCCTCAGAAACTCAACCGCCGATGTGTTGTAGTTCTCAGCTCTGCCAGCCACAGTACAGGAAGCTCACATAAGGTTGAACGAAGTATTATCACAAAGCGCAGAGCATAAGATAAGCTATACACTAAGCTGCTAGGGTATATATTACATCACAGATTCCCAGCTCCTTGAAACAACTACATGATGTTCTACAACGGCATATGATGCAAGTGAAAATTGTAGAAAGTAAATTAGTAAAACCGCAAGCAGCATACCTCACATCGCTTTCCACAATACCCTCCTCTGAAGGGACCCCAACTCTAACTGCCTTGTCCAGCTCGGGCTCATCCTGATTTGCCTTCAGGGTAGCAAATATTTCTGCAGTAGCATGTAAGCTTCGAGACCATATGATTCGTAACCGGGGGAAATGCAAAGCGAGCAATGACAGCTTGGAGATCACACTGTTGGGTGTTACATCATCCCCGATATCAGTTACAGACTGCAGTTTGATCGCAAATAAATTTGCACTGTAAGAAATCCGAAGGCGCCTGTACTTCATTCCAGATTTTATCTAGGTATATAAGTGAGTTTAGTCTCGTTCATCATGCTTACCTGGAAAGAGAAGCTCTTGTCCTGTGAAAACTCGATGAGAAGAACGGGTATTCTGTAATACCGCACCATCATATCCACTTGGTTGTAGAGGCGGCCTGATGTGAAACTCATGAAAAGATCAGAGATACTTTTCCTTTCCACGCAGATTTGTGGGGATAGAATGTAGTCTCCGACTTCCAAGGTAACTGGTATTATCCGCATTCCTTTCTGGTGAAGAACATTTGGAAGGCTACTCATGAACTCCCTCATGTCCACTATGACCTGCAGCAGGTGTAATAAATTAGTTTGACAATTGTAGCTCACAAAAGTTTGGAATATACAGGCCAATAGGAGAAAGTATGATGTTAAACACCTGCATTTCTTTATCGGCAACTTTCCTTCCACCGGCCTTTCTAGTTATAGAGTTCTGAGAACTAGAAGCCTCTAGCTCAGCCGAAGAATTCAGACCCAGACAACTTCCATTCTGTTCCCAGGTCCAAAAATAAACAGAAACTGCATTGATCAGCAGAAAGTTCCCTATAGATGTACAAATCTAGAGCTGTCTTGTACCTTAACATGGAAGTATATTTAGAAAAGATACCTGATCAACAGGAATCATCATCATGGATTTCTGCCTGATGAGAGATTCAAAAGCTCCATTCTCTTTGCGTATACTGGCCTCAAACTTCTGTACCTCAGTTGAAGCTTCATAGAAAAGAAAATAAACCTTCACCCTTTTCGATGGATTTTCAGCTTGGAATACTTCAATCTCCCGAACGAATGTCATATCCGGATGGTAAACAATAATTACAGAAGGCTTCAGCATGTCAAGTATAGGCTCATTCCTTTCTAGAGCATAGAAATACAAAGGTGGAATTTTCTTGGCCCCTCCTTCTAATCCTGCAGGGTCATCATGGTCCCCATTATGCCTCCGAAGAGCCCCTGGCATAGAAGCCCCCCTTAACTTGCCTGGTTGATGGAATCCTGTAATTTCACTATTAGTTTTGTCTACTATAAAAGTTTCAGGCTCATTGATTTTACTGCCTGATGTTTGACCATTTGCTGGTGCCTTTTTCTTCGGTCCTTTTCCCCTCCTTTTCTGATCATTTTCAACAAGAGGTGGTATCTCATCTGTAATATGCGTTTTACTTCTTATCTGTAATGCTGCTGCCAACAAAGCCTCATGCTCCTGCTTGTTTATGCTGCTTGCTGATTCTGCACTCTGGGCGGGTTTTACAGGGACTACTCCATCAAGAAGTCCAATTCCTCTCGGTTCCTTAGGTTTTGGTTTCTTTTTCTGTGGTGTTTGGAAGCCACGCAAGTCCATTTTGCTCAACAAATAATTTTCCCACTCTTCTCGCAATACCTTTAATGCAACATGAAAAATAGAAAAAAAGATTAGAATTTAACAGCTCGATAGACTTTAAAAAAAGAATCACTGCTAGCAATTTACAGCAAATAAAATCAGTTCAAAGTGAGTAATAAACCTTTAGAGACCCATTTGTCATGCAATCTTCGACCTGCATGCATGAGCGTTCATCTTTGCAAGCCACTAAAACAATGCCACTATCCAATTCATCGCTATCAACAGCATCTTCATCCAAGGCTTGCTTTGTTCTTTCTTCCTCTATCTCTTCAAGTATCTCCTGTTCCGAAAAGAATCAAATCTAAAATCTTCAGGCACAAAAGTGTAGACATCTATCTGATGATTCATACTGCAGAAACTGATGATTCAACAAAGTTCAGATTCTTCAGAAACAAAGAATACATAAAACAGCCTAGAAATGGAACTCACTCACACGTAACACCTTCCACTTTGGTGCTTCCTCCAAAACTTCCTCCAGTACAACTCCCTCACTTACAGATGAAGTACCATTTGGCACTGCAGATAACGATACAGAACAGTCAACAACTTCAATCGATAAAAAAAAAAGCTATGTCAAGTCCAAACACAGGAATATGATCTCTTAATCACTTGCCTTCTTCTTTACTATTCCGGTCGACCCTCAGTTTCCTCCGTTTGGCAGTTGAGGTATTAGTCTGTTCCTTCAAATTAATGTCGTTCGACCTTGCCAACCGATAGACTCGCTTCTTTGCATAATCGAAAATCTTATAGCTCGACTCTGCAAATATCCAGACAGAGCGAAAACTCTCTGACACCCTAAGCGTATCCAAATACTTCAAATAACTCACAGCATCATACCTAACCATAGTCACAAATCCAAAAACAGCCCAAGAAAACCAGCATTAAGCCAAGTTCCACCACAAAATAAATTCAACGGTTAAAGCAATTCCTTTACTTTCTTCCCACAAATCGATCGCCATTACCAAGTTCAACACTCCTCCTAAGACGCTCAAATCTCACAATGAAACAGAGAAAAGGGAAAAATGGAATTACCTAACAAGATAATCGAGCAACTTCCGCAAGGTCTTCAAATCAGAAACAAGCTGCTTAGTCTTCTTCCCCAAAGTATGCCAAATGGGATCAAGCTGTCTCCTCACAATCTCATCAAACGACTTGAACAGCCCATTCTCCACAGTCAAATCCTCCACATCCACCTTATTCGTCTTCCTCATCTCCTTCAAACAAGCATCCATGACTTCAACAATCGCCTTCTGTATCCCAACCATATACTTACTCATCGGAACCCTAACATCCACCACCTCCGGCGGATTCCTCTCCAGCTCCTCAGAAACGTACACCTGAAATCTCGGCCACAAGTGAAGCTTCCGTATGTAGAGCGCCTTCATGATCCTCTCCGTCTTCGCGAACCCGGCCACCATCGCATGCGGCCTGTCGGTGAACGCGCGAACGTACACCGACCGGCTCATGGATTTCACAATTCGGACGATGAACGCCTCGGTGGAGGTCTCGGAAAGCGAGTGCGCGTTCAGTAAGATCAAGCCGGCGAGGGAGGAGATGGGGATTTTGTTGGTCAGGAGGTCGACGATGAGGATTCTGGCGGTGATGAAGCATGTTTGGCCGGAGGAGTAGAGGGAGAGGCGGTGGTGTGCGGGGAGTTCGGCGGTGATCTCGGCGATTTCGTTGCTTCCGTCGGAGGATTGTAGGTGGTGGGAGATTTGGGACTTTAGGGATTGGGAGGAAGGGGAGAGGATTAGTAGAGAGCCCTGGGAAGGGTCGTGGAGGAGGAGAAGAGAAGAGATGAGTTTGGAGAGTGAGAGGCCGGAGGATAGGATTACCAGTCCGCCGGAAGGTTCGTCGAGGAGCTCTGTGATTACGTGCTCGTGAAATCGGACCATGGTGGCCGCCGGCGGGGCGGGAAGACGGACGGGGAAAGTGGTGGCAACTGGCAAGGGATTTTGCCCGCGGATGGGAATTTATCTGTCTCTTGTCTCGTTTTTTATTTTTATTACTAGGATCTGAAAACTAAAAAAAATTATGATATTCAACGAAAAAAAAAATTATGATAAAAAATGAAGCTAATTAAATAAAATTCCGCTGCCGGGAGTCGAACCCGGGGCCTTCTTTCGAAAACCACCTTGTATCTCATACCAGGATTTGGGAATTTTGAAATATGCTACAGCGGATTTTTGGTACAGAGTTGTTATTACCTCTGTTATTTTGTTCCAAACATTTCAATTTATTCTCAAAAAATGTTTACTACCGTGCGGTACAAGTATTTTCTTGGGGCCAAAAAGGACTACTAGTTAGCTGTGCGCAGTACCGCGCAAATAACATTCCTGTGTTTGGCCCTGCTTTTAGAAGTGTTTTTCGAGTTTAAAAACTGAAGTAGGGTTAAACACTTGTAAAAGCTTGGCTTTGAAAAGTCGAAAAGCGCTTTTGTATAACATAAAAGCAGAAGCTCTGATTTGAAGCTTCTGCGAAAAGCTGTTTTGAAAATACAAGATTATCCTTACCATATTTTAATTTTATTTCAGAAAATATAATTTTCCTTCATTTATATCATTTTAAAAATAAAATACATTATAAAATTATATTATTTTGATATAAAAGAAATCTAACAAGATCCATTTTGACTACTTTTTATTGTTTAGAATTTTTATTCATATTTTATATTATAAGTCTTTTATAGTCATTTTACACAACCTCTTATATTAAAAAACACTTCTAATAGTTATACAGCAAAACACTCAACTGCTTTTTTTTAAAAGTACTTATCTAAAAGCTCCAGCCAGAAGCTGCTTCTGCAAAAGCTACAGCAGGGCCAAACTAAGCTATTAACGTGGTTGGAATTAAAGTCAGCTATGGAAAAGTATATGGGTGATGGATTTGGTCATAATGAAATGAAAGCTTTTCTTCTAAATTCATGGTTTGTTTTAAGTATTTATAGGTCTTTTGTTTCGTGGATTTGAAAAATGAAAGTTTTGGTATTATTTGGGTTTTGAAAAACCATGGATATATGAGGGTTTCGGGTGCATTATGGATTTGATAAACATCATTGTTTGTTTGATGGATTTTATGATGAATTTCATTAATTAAATTTGTATGTATGAAGTGTAATTTGCCTTTATTATCTCAATAATATAAGAAGAGAAAGAAAATATGAGGGGTAGGTTTGGTAAAAATGATGGACTTTAAAGTCAATGATCAATTCTCATCTAAAGATGTGAGTTTTTCAAGTCTGTGGGGCCAACAAATTTGGAACTTCAAAGTCCATGGATCCCACGACTTTGTTACTTCTAAATACTTGAAACAAATAATAGATTTGGGACAAAATCCATCATGAATCCAAATCATCACCAAATCCTTCACTAAATCCATCATAGAGATGACAAATTCGTGGGACCCATGACCTTTGCAGGTCCAAATGCGTGGCCCCACGGATTTGAAAATCCCACTTCTTTAGGTGGGAATTTATAATGGACTTTGAAGTCCGTTACTTTTACCAAACTACCCCTCATATTTTCTCTCTCTTCTTATATCTTTGAGGGCAATAAAGGTAAATTACACTTCATACATACATATTTAATCAACAAAATCCATCATGAAATCTATCAAACAAACAATGGTGTTTATCAAATCTATAATGAACTCAAAACCCTCATATATTCATGGGTTTTCAAAACCCAAATTATAATAAAACCTTCATTTTCCATATTCATGAAACAAACGACCCTGATTTTTCCTATTGATTTTGTGTGTTAAGTTTTTATTTGGTTTGTTGTATTTGACGCTTGAATTGGAAAATAACCATCGACTATGTAGGAAAGAACTATTTGCTTTAATATTTAATTAGACTTGAACTCGTCTGCACATTATCTTTCTTGCCTCCCCACTTCTAGTAAGCACGAATTCATCATTTTAATAGTTTATGTAGAACGTTTAATATTTTATTTACCGCTACTCTTCCCCACCATTTCCTCTCACCGACTCCCCATCATTTGGATGGTTTCGTCTGTCATTCCTTCTAATCACTTTTCTTGTTTAGTTCATATCTAGCCTCGTTGACTCAAGTTTTTATCTTCCGTTGTTCAATATGAGATGATTATTCTTTCTCTATGGGTAAGTTTTTCTTATTTGAACACATATATATTCTTTGCATCTCATATATCATTTGAAACTTCTTCTTCGGGCACATGCAGTCGTCTGGCATATTGTTTGACACTGTTTGTGCTTCTATTTCTTGATTGTGTAGTTTATGATACCCAATCTTTCAAATAGCTATACTTGGGGATTAATCAAAGGCAAATTGAAAGTCTCCGGAGCTGATTCATAGCGAGACATCGATTGGTTAGCCCAATTTTGAAGACTTGCATGCATATTATGTTGTGGGACAGTTCTACGTTGCTCTTGGTTTAGTTTACTATAATGAAATATTGGATGAAGAAGAAACTAGTGCATGAAATAAGTAGACATAGATTCGGGTACTTGATTCATTTGGTTATGGACTTGTATTTTGGGGCAAAAGGTCGCTAAGATCTAGACATGGATAGCAAGTTGCATATGCTTCGAGAAAAACCCAGATGTAGTTGGATTGCGAATTCTTAATGCAAATGGCAAAGCTGTAATAAGTATAAAAAATTGTGTACTGTTGTAGAGATTTTGGACACGTGTTATCCCCTAGTGCATTCTCAACTAAAAAACCAAGCTTCTATTTATTCTTCCATATATATATATATAGAAGAATAAAGGTCATTTATCTCGTTTGTTCACGACTAGTTTTGAACTCTTCTTCGCTTAAGGGAGACGTCTTTGGCAATAAGGTTAAACTGTTTTATTATTTTTATTTTTTGTAAAGCAATTTCAGTACTGTAATTTCGATAACAAATCAAATCTGAGCTATAGGATATTTATGCTCCTTACTTTGTTCAATTATGAATGTTTTCCTTCCCCTTTTGAACGAAAAGTTAAGGCACGAAATGAGAAAATGGTCATTTGATAGGATGATTCTTGGACCGTGTTTAATTAATTAATTGATAACTAAGAGTTTTTTTTTTTTTTTGGAATAGGTTTGATTCGTGGCTGTAACTTAAAAAAACCAGCATCATTATAGCTGGTAAAAGTTGCCAAGGGTCACATAGCCCAACTGATAAAACTCTCTAGTGATCCTTGATCGAAAAGTGTGAGGTCCCGTGTTCGACCTACTTTGAGACCAATTGTAGTGTTATCGGAGGCACTAAAATGAGATTTTAGTGAAGGGCCCAACCCTCCTAATGGGTCAAGAACTTACGAATGACAAAGAATTGCAATCACACACAGCAACGCTTAGTTAGTCAATGTACAATATTGGCTCCGCAACGCTGCGTTTCACTTTCATATACTCCATCTTGAGAGCTCTGAACTTCTCCTCCAAATCATCGCAATCTGGCAGCTTAGGATGAACGTGGCTCGGCAACATGCTCGGAAGCGAAGCTATCCGCTTCATCGACGTCGCCGCCGTCGTCTCCAGATCCTTGTCCGACCGGCACCAACCCCCTAGCTGCGGCATCGAGCTCGCTTTCGGAATCGCCGACGACTTCTTCATTCCCACGTTCACCCTCTCCAGCGACTTCCAAACCTTTTCAATGCTACTCCCACCACAACTACCATCCTCGTCGTCGTCCTGATGGTGACGGTAACTTCTCCCGCAGGTAACATCCACCCCGATTATCTCGCTAACCTTTCTGACCTTCATATCGTCCGAGACGGCACGCCTCATCAACGCGAGCCTCTCCTCCACCCCCAAGTTAAAGAAACGGTTATGCGAACCCTCGCGCAGGGACGATGCCTTGTCGAACAAGTCTTCGCCGTAACGCTCGATGAAAAGGTGTCGAATGGTTTGAAGCTCCGGGAGATCGGGGCAGCTCGAGGCGGCGAACGCCAGCGCGGAGACGGCTCTGCTGACCTCGTTGGGGCAGTCCCTGTGGCGGCGGCGGATGTACGGGAGGTTGTTGACGATGTCCTGGCATGACTCGTGCAGCAACTCGTAGAGTTGGATCGTGTTCTCGTCCTCCACAATCTGTTCCGCGGTCAACAGGGCGAAGTCCCTCTCCTCGTTTTGTACGAATGTGGCTACCTCGGGGCGGAGGCGTTTGACCATTCCAATCCTCGAGTCCTTCGAGTTTTTGAGACGGGCTTGCAGTCGGCTCACGACCCTCTTGCATCGGGAAGCGCTCCGCCAGCGGCCGCCAAAGCCGTCGATGATGGATTCTAACTTTTCGCGACCGTTGCGGGCGGCCACCTTCGCCATCCTCGTCAAGATCATGGTTGTGATTTGGACAAGACGGAGAGGAGAGAACGGAACTAATTAATTATTTCTCGTTTGGTCTGAGTTTGATTGTGCTTGGTCTGTATATATATGTAGGCTTTGCGTATGAATATCCTTGACTCTGTAGTACAGTACTACTGCTTTCATCTTCTCGAGAGGAATTGGTTTCTCTTTTATTTGACCCACACTAATCCGGGAGCTCAAAGGCAAAAGAAATACGTGAAACAACAAAACAAAAACGATAAGTTAATCAAATGCAAATTAAGGATTAAGCTAAACTAATCATAACAAGTATTGGGCCCAGGGAACGAGGGGAGTGGCTGGACCGGACCGTCTCTTGTTTTCTGTTTGTCCTTAAATTTGTTTGTACGATAATCTAACGTTTAGCATAGGGTAAATTACAAGTTTGGTCACTGAAATTACTAAAAATTATTTATTGTTTGTCACTAAAATTAGTTTATTTCATTCATAGTTACTAAAATTAGTTTAACGGTTCAAGTTTGGTCACTCTTTGTTAATCTCCGTTAACTTTATCTGACGTGGCAGTCAACTCTGACAGTTGACACTTTGACAGTGGATTCTGTTTGGTAAACACAGAGAGATCCAGAATTTGATGACGGTTTTGTTGGTTGTTTCCCTCCAATTTTGGCTTGTGGAGTGAATTCTTTGAGTAGATGACTTTTACTTACCGTTCGTTGTATTATCCGTTTTCATAAACCGTGTGCTAGAGATTCATAGATATTTTTTTTATTATACTCACTCCAAAGTAGGCATATGCAGCTAACATTTTCCTACTTTACGGAGATCAATGGCTAAAATATATCCAAACCCAAACGAAGATGCCATTGATATTTGATACAATTAGGGCAATATTTAGTTTGTCAGTTAGCGCTTATATTGATAAACTAACTAATAACTGACAATTAGCAGTTTTTTTATAAGCTGATATAAGTTCTTTTTGTGTGATTAAGGGACTAGTAAAAAGATTCGAACTTGAGACCTCTAGGTTAGTGATATTATCACTAGACAAAATTCTTGTTCGTCACAATTAGCAGCTATACTGTTAACTGATTATAATGTATGGTGCGGTAATCATTAGGCTAAAATGGTTTTTGCTATAATCAATAATCGAGCAGTCGGTTTACGGTTAACATACAATTCTACACTACTTATAATACACTTTAAAGAGTTTGATTTGCTCAATTTCAAATTTCCTGCAACGGGAGTGAAAGTAGGAAGGGTATTTTCGTCTACACAATCAATTTTTTATTTCATATAAAAAGATATAAATGCTAGGATTTGAACCACAGTCTCTTCCACCAAAGACTAGAATAGTAACCAATTAGACTATACACATTTGTTGTACCTTATTAATACAAAACATAGAGGAAGTTAAAATTATGAAAAACAAAGTACTTTTCTATCACAGTTAGTTAGCCCGCTAAGTCTACTGTAAGTATTTTGTGGTGTTTGATACTTCTATTTTCATATTTTAATAATTAATTTAGAATTTTTTCTAACTTATAAATGAAGGATAATCTTAAAATCTCAATACCAATATCATTGGTTTGAATATTGTGCATTGAATTGAAGTGTTCAATGAAGTGTTCAATTTGAATGATAGTTTAGTCAAATCAAGCAAATAATTCACGATTGTGTATAAACAAAAATAAAAACATATGTATTGTTTTATGAAAAATGTATTTATTTTAACAATCTAAAAAAAACAATCAAAACTTCCATACGACCCCTTATTTCAATAATGTAATTAATGAAATAATTTTTATCAACATGATGCAATGTTCAAGCTAAGGTCCAAGTATTAATCACCACTCACCAGTATATAGTATTTATCATAGTTAACTATTTCAATATCCACAAAAAACTATTAATGGTTATTTGCTTTCTCTTAGAGAGTTTAATGTAGCACCCTCATGCCTAGCTATGCTCTAAGCATTTGTTATCTTTTTCAAAATATCATTTGCAGTTATTTATTAAATCAACTTTGTTTCTAACTTTCAATTCCTAATTATTCACTTCTTCATACCAACTTATGGAAATGCTAAATATATTTTTCATGTTTAATCTATTAAACATAAATGTTGCTTATCACTTAAATTCAATGCTATCCATGTTAGGTTTGAAATCACCAACATATTCTTCCAATTTCTCCAAAGAGCATAATATCTTGCGATTGATATCATAGTTTCGTTAGGTAAAGTTCAACAAACTCAATCAATATTCGAACTCTTCAAAATAGCTATCTACATGCGAAAATGAAGTACTGAGTAGCTAAAACTCTACTTGAGTTATTACAATCTTTTGCGCTATCGATTCCAAATTCAATACATGGTTATCTTATTACAATTTAGTCATACTAATTGTGCAGTAGGGGACATCTTATCAAAATCTTAAAGAAAGACTCTTTGATTGATCGCTTTCATGATGTAATCAATTATACGAAAATAGAAGTGATCAAACTTATAAGATGCACTCAAAGTTTGCTATAATTATTGAGGTTCGGCAGCACGTTAGGCGTACGGCGCTCATTGGGCAATTGTCTATCTCCTAGCTCGCCTAGACATGCTTAGACATTATAATAAAAATAACAATTTAATAATAATGAATAAAATAACGGTTCTGAAGCACTTTCATACTTTGGTTCAAATGATTTAACAGTAAACGAAATAACTCTCAAGTTTATAAATTATTTTCTATTACCAAATGATATAATTCATTCGTGAGCTGAAATAGCTAATTATAAGCACTTCAAATTTAAGTTAAAACTCTATATGATGCAATTGTTTGACGAAATGGGGTTTATAATAGAGTGGTTCTATCGAGAGAGGTCTCTAAGAAACGTGGCTTACTTTATTATTCCTTAGGTGGATATAATATCTATCTTCATCGTTACTTTTACATTGGATTCAATTTAGTATACTTTTTCATTTAGATAGTTTTTTTGATGATGTTCTGGGATGTAATATATCAGTATATATGATGGTGTATGATATTAATTCCTCTCATTTTAGGTTCAAATTGATGCATTTTCCCCTTTACCGTTCCCTTTTATTGGTTAATAATTTTTATGATATTTTTCACTTTGAAATATCGTGAGCGGAATCTATACACAACAATTTGTGTTTTTCCGCTTCCTCTTCTCTTGGCTAGATATTGTGTCAATATTGATTCCTATATTGATTATCGAATTACTACCTTTTTGTTCTTTTTTCTTATGCAAGATATGATTTTATGTTTGATAATATAGATTTATTTTTCAAGCATGTGGATGCTTGAGACTTTTCATTTGCCTCATAACTTACATTTTACAATGGCTCCAAACTCGGATGAGTTTCTATTCAGCACATAAATTTTTAATGATGTAAAATTTATGAAACTAAGATGCATATTAATAAACAATAATGTAAGGTCTCATCTTCTCCCTTAAGCACTACATATCATTGTTTACTTACCATTAAATCAAAGTCTTTCTAACTTGAGTAAGAGCTACAATGACTTTTATTAACTTTCACTACTCATATATCACAAGTGTTCAAATCATTATCAAGTGTTTATACAATGACTTTTGTTGTTGTGGATTTCCCCAAAATGTTAGGTATGCTGCTTTTAGTTTTTGCTTTCTTTTCGCTTTGATTTAGCTTTTTATTTGTTGCTCTATTAGTTGAACTTGACATCTGGACATCTGCATGCTTTGTTTCATTATATCATTGAATACACTAAAGTCAATGGAACCATGACTGTGTTAGTTAGTTTGTTTCTTTTTAAAGACACTATAAACATATACTTTGTTTCATTATATCATTGAATACACAAAAAGTTAATGGAAAAGGCAAAAAATTTATCGTATACTGAAGATTGATTATGTATGTGTGATGTAAAACAACTCTTATCATTATTCTTCCCATACATTTTTATATAGATATGACTTTGTTTGAAAATATGTATTTTTGTTAGTGTAGTTGGACATTGTTTGTCATTTTTTAAACTTCATTAGTCAAATACATTAAATACTTTCCTATATTATTCATGGAGAACTTACTAAATTAAATAGTTACTTCAATCCCCAACAACATGAACCATAAAAAAAAATATACCTCAATGTTTACTACACATACACATGAAAACCAAACTCTCCCGGCCAAGAGGCCGGGCCCTAATCTAGTAACCTAATATGAGGATGTATGTTTCAAATAGATATTGACGTTAAATATTATATTTATATATAAGTATTTGTTATTTTATTTGAGATATCCTATTTTATTTAATTATGAATAATTTAATTTAATATGAATTGTAAGTAAATTATTTTGAAATATATTTTATATATAATTTAATTCATTTCATGTTAATGATTTCTTACAATTTTAAATAATTTATTAAATGGGCATGAATCGATATAACTCGAATGTACCACCGGTCAAATCATTACACTTATTAAACCGCCGCAACCGTATTGGATTGACAACCTTTTTTGTCGAGATATATGCTAGGCTGCCCCCTAAACCCAAGACCGTTATAAATGCTATAACAACATTTTTACTACCAGTCACGAATCTCATATTGGTGGCACTACTCATGCTGGAAATCATGATAAATAATTATTCTATCAAGGGCTAATACAAACACAAAACTCGAACTATCCCAAAAATGCCACTTGTGTCCTATTGTTTCCAATATTCCATCTGTGTCCTGAACAATGATTCCATTATCGTTGACTTTTGTTGACCGTTAAATTTTAACGGTATGACAAATCAGCGCTGATGTGTATGCGGACGTGGCTCTTTGTTCTACGACGTGGCTTTTAGTTGTTT